AGTTAAGAAGTCTGATTGCAAGTTATCAAATTAAACTTTATTTTTTGGACCCAGGGCCTCAATTCCCTCTTTGTGTGGGGACAGCGCATCTGACGAGCAGCAACAGCCCATCAAGCGACGGAGGATGCTGGGACCAGGAGAACAACAGAGGTTGGCTATAGAGGTAAGTTGTGATGTAATTGTCAGTGTTTCCCCCTAGAACTATTTTCAGGCCTGGTAGTATGTAGCCAAAACCCTGAACAATCAGCACCTTGGTAATCATATACTTGAGTTGGACATAGGCATGTGTCAGTCAGGATCACTTGCATCAAAATAGCTTAATTGCAAATTAAAGCTGATGATGTATCTTTTACAGGTATGTGATACCATCCTGAGTCATGCCAAAGAGAGGTTCTCCTTCACCCAGCACCTCATCAGCGCAACACTATTGCACAGTGTGAAGTTCCCCGATACAGCGCTTGAAACAACCGTGGAGGCGTACCCCATGTTGAACAAGGCCAAGCTCAAAACCGAACTGTCCCTCATCTATGAGAACAGTGAGTTCAAGGCTTGTAGTGGTGCAGTGCCCCTGTACCAGTTCTTCATGGAGAACAACCTTCAGAGCACTTTCACAGAGACTGCCAGCCTCCTCAAGATCCTCATCACCACACCCATGACAACTGCTGAGTCAGAAAGGTGCTTCTCTACACTGAAAAGGATCAAGACCTTCCTGAGAAACAGCATGACACAGGATCGCCTGAACGCTCTGGCCATGCTCTCCATGGAGAAGAAACTTGTCAGGGACATTCCTGACTTTAATCAAAGGGTCATTGAGAGGTTTGCCACTCAGAAGGACAGACGGGCAAAATTCCTGTACAAATAAGATGACAGACACACACACACAGAGCAGCTCTGGCCGCATGTTTCTTTGTATATAGTTGACCTTAGCATAAAAAATCCAGTTATATATGGTACTCTAGAAAGTCTTAATAGTGTCTTTGCTAATATTACTGTATATATGTTGTTTGTATCAATTAATTGTTGCAGTTCTGGAGCACATTAACAATTAGTCACATTTAGTATGATCATAAAATACTGTATGCTATTCTTCCAGTCAAAGGTTTGAGTTCATCCACTTGATATCCATTTCTATATTATACATCCTTTTATACAGTGTAAGATTTCCTATAAACTTTATAATAATTTCATGTTATTGTCCACTTTCCACTCTGTTCTGACAGCATGCCTGTTGCGTTGCCTGTTTACTACCAATGGTGAAAAGTTCACTTTAAATGCAAATGAAAGGCTTGGGTTTGTGTAATATGTTTTTGTGTAAGAATGCCTCAACTTTTTAATATTGGCATTAAATAATTACTGAATGTTTCACTGAGCACTGCTGTCCTGCAGTTTGTGTTAAAATATATCGCGATGGTTACAGGAAAAAAAAAGTATGGCACAGCCCCACCGAGAATATTTTTCACCAGCCGCCACTGCTCCCAATCAGAGACAACCAGCCCCAGCTGACACTCGTTGCCTCTGATTGGGAGTCACTCTAGCCAACATAGAAATAAACACAACTAGAACTCCCAACATAGAAATATAACACATAGAAAGAACACACCCTGGCTCAACATATAGAGTCCCAGAGCCAGGGTGTTACAATTACACCCTGAAACTGTGTATAATGTGTTAGAAATGTGTGAGTGTAGGACCAGTAAGCTACCATTGAGCTACTATTTAGCAATGTGAGTAAGAGTTAGACCAGACAACAATGGAGAACTGTCTAAACCAAGATAAAGGGGCCTCCCAATTTAGGGAGGATGCGATATCTGTACCTGGCCGAGCAAGGAGTGGGAAAAGATAAGAACAGTGATGGTCAGGAGAGCAGAGGAAAACATGAGCTGAGCCGAGGTGTGTGTGTGTTTACAAGATGTGTATAGTGGAGAAATACAGGCCGCCTAAAGGGGGGGGGGGGGGGCAGGATTTTTAGTATGTCTTATGTGTATAAAAGGATTGTACCACCATTTTGTTTCAGAATTCTCAATGAATAAATATCTCTGACTATGCAGACCGGGACTCTGGCCGTTACTTAAATCCCAAAAGACTTACAACCTTTTGGGAGACGCACAGAGACACTAAAATAGTTTGTTAAATAATTCACTTAACAGATGGGCACTTCTAATGTAAATATATGGCAGCACCCAATGGGGCATGAACTGCCTAGCTCTCCCTGAAGATTCTGTAGTGACATAGTATCCCCATGAGTAACAGAACACTGAGCCAATCACGGCGCAAATAGAGAAAATTACCAATGCCTATACTATGTGCTTTCGCTGACTGCCCCTCCACCACAGAAAGCACTGAGCTAGGCTGAAACACCTGCATTTTGGAGCTGCCTTACTCAAGAGACCATGTTTGTATGCAGCTTTATTAACTCAAGGATTTGTTTATTTGTTTATTAATTTTTTACATTGTTTGCAAACTGTTATGATAATTATTTACTCTCAATGGTTGTACTCAACTATTTCAGTGTCTCTGTGTGTCTCTTAAGAAACGGACAGAGTCCCAGTCTGCATAGTCAGGTCGTCTTTATTCATTGAGAATTCTGCCCCTCACATTTACATTTACATTTTCGTCATTTAGCAGACGCTCTTATCCAGAGCGACTTACAAATCGGTGCATTCACCTCACAATGAGGAACATCCTTATATACACACACACATTCTTTGTCCCGAGAGTCATAAATGCTCAAGTCGAAGTCAAGTGGCAAGTGAAAATGTAGTGGCCAGTATGAAGAATGTATGCACTCACTAACTGTAATCCGCTCTGGATAAGCGCGTCTGCTATATGACTAAAATGTAAAAATGTAAGTGTTTTTTCTTTTTGCCAAGTCAAGTCTCAAGTTGCAAAATGTGCGACTCGAGTAGTACTGGAGTCCAAGTCACATGACTCGAGTCCACATCTCTGCTTTCCAGACTGCATTTTGGCTGTTGAATTGCCTCCTGACATGTGGCAGTCCAGTTCCATGACGTCTCTGTCTTTATTAACTGCCAGAGGCGGAACTGATGGTGGAGTGGAACTGATGGTGGAGTGGGCCTATTGAGGACAGTTCTGGGAGATTCAGGATGGCATTGCCATTGGAAAGGTGTGTTGGTCAATGTGGTGAACACCTGCCTTATGAGCTTATCAGCATATGTGGTTGCATCCTCCCCATGCACCATAATGTCACCAAGTCAACATGTATGTCAACTCTAGGGCAGACTGGGAGATTCAGGATGGCAATGATATTGGATAGGCACAATTCCTATGACATGCAAAGGCCTACTAAATTGATGGCATTTCTTGTCAATGAGTGTCAGGTTGTGTCGGTTTATTGTAGTGAACACCTGTCTTATGTGCTTGTCATGTGTGGTTGCATCCACCCCATTCACCATAATGTCACCAAGTCAACATGTATGGCAACTCTAGGGCAGGCAGCCAGGATGGTGGACATGATTTTTGGACAAAAACAATGTGCCAGCTCAACCCAATCAGGATAATAGTGCACCCGAACTATGCACTCACCACAAATCTATGGCAAGACCTGAAAATGGTTGTCTAGCAATGATCAACAACCAATTTGACAGAGCTTGAATAATTTTGAAAAGAATAATGGGCAAATGTTGCGCAATCCAGGTGTGGAAAGCTCCTTGAGACTTACCAAGAAAGACTTACAGATGTAATCGCTGCCAAAGTGTCATGGGGTGCTGAAGGTGGGTGTGGTGCAGGAATCAAGCGCAGGACGCAGAAGCTAAGTCCAAAAGACTTTAGTGAGTTATTCACGTAGTACACGAGAACAATAAGCCCGGAGGCGAAATAACGGCGCAACACAGGCGTCAGACAAACGGCGCACTAACATGTGCGAAAACCTCTCCAAACACGGAGGGAAGAATACGTAGCTCCGAACACCAAACAGAGGAGCAATCACACACAACACCATACACACACAACGAGAACTAAATAGGACACTAATGAGGACTAACTAGACACAGGTGTACAACATCCAGACAAAACCAAACGAACATGAAACATAGATCGGTGGCAGCTAGTACTCCGGGGACGACGACCGCCGAAACCTGCCCGAACAAGGAGGAGGAGCAGCCTCGGCCGAAACCGTGACACAAAGGTGCTTCTACAAAGTATTGACTCAGGGGTGTGAATACTTATGTAAATGATATATTTCTGTAATTCATTTTCATAGAATTAGCAAAATTGTATAAGATTTTTTTTTTCACTTATGGGGTATTGTGAGTACATGGGTGAGATTTTAAAAATCCTTAATTGGAAATTTTACAACAATAGCCTGTTCATAGTTGATATTTCTGCTTATTGTATCTCTGTATTTACAGGACTATATTTCCAAGATGCATTAAGATACCCTAACGCTGTTTGTTTGTGTATTGACTACTTGTATTTCAAATTTTTTGCAATATCAGAGCTTCCAATATTGGGTTATATGAGTTTATGTGTCCCACACCCCTCCAACCAGGCATTAGTCTGCACGTTTTGAGTGTAGGATTAGTCACAATATCTATCAATTTAACCACTTTTGCAGTGAAATATTTTTTCACAATCATCCATTTCATAAATGGGAGCAAATAGAGATGTGGAAAAACATAGTTGTGTTTTGTTCTACCACGGGTAGGGGTATCTCAAAAAACTAAATCCACGTTGATGATTTATAGAGGTCTAGCCACTGACTGTAACCTTGGACTGTAGGGAAAGGTTTCCTCTGGCAGTAAAGGGGAGTTCACATTGATAGCCGACAATAAACGATATCAAAGTTCACTAGCGTTCTGAAAAACTAGGGCAACAGTGACTGTTGGCTGGCTGGCTGCGCTCTCTCTCAGTAGATAAAAACAAGTGGCCATTATAATAGGCAGGAGAGGGCTCAGTCGTACGGATAAGAATAACACACTACACTTTCCAGCAGCCGGAAGGACAATTTATGCGTCAACATGTTTAGCAGATCATTATTACAGATCCGACTGCGTGCCTGTACACAGGAGAATAGGAGCGGGATTAAAAGAGTGACAACGACATTAACCTGCATTGGTGACGGGCGGCGCGATGCCTATACCACTACCACTGTCGTGGGGGACAACAATAAACAGAAAACTATGGATGATTTGGATGGGCCTAGTTTTCTCAGGTCTTTATATTGGCTTTTCGGGAAAGGGTATTTTCAGACAACACATCAAATGCAAGTAAGTAACGTTACTGTACAGTGTTATTACAGTGCATTGTGAAACCTACCTGCTAGTGTTATACTACACTGGTTGCGTATTATTATGCCTAATCTCCTAGTCCATGGGCCAGGGGTTCGGTCCGGCTGATTTGGGGTGGCGTGACGATATTTCATAGTGATTTTCTTGAAGCTCTATGTCCCCAGAGTTAGAAAATGTGTGATAGCAGAGTAGCAATGGCAGCTTTGTCTGTGTAATAACACTTGCTTTCATCCCTCCCTCCATCCCATACATTTTTCCAATAGGGATTTTACCCTTTGACAAACAATGTATACAGTATACAACAAGTTATTTGTCACATATACAGTTTAATCATATATAATTGGAAAGCTTAGATTCACAGCTATCCATTAGGCATATTTTCGGGAATGTTCAGGTCAACAGACTTTGACCTTTGACCTCTAGGGTACATATCAGATTTACCTGTATAAATTGCTTTAAAAACGAAACCCTGATACATTAAACATTTTGTTTGACAAGTGGTTCTGAAAGGTCATGAAATTACCTTTCAAATTATATATAATAAAACCAACTTCGAAAGCACCACCTACAACTATTGTTCAAAAATAGCCCATATTGTGCAATTAAATGACAGTAGAATGTTGGAAGTTTAGCCATAGAATTCCATGTAGTGGGGCAGCTATGTTTATGGATTGTAACTTTAGTGATAGAAGCACAAGATTGCACCCACACAGCTAGAATAGGGTTTTAAAAATATTTGTAGAGACAGGGCCATCACAGGATTCATGCATTAATCCCATCACCATACCTGTATGAAATATAATTGTAGAATGCCCAATAATATCATAAATGTTCACAGTGATGTAGAATACACAGCCAAATGAGCCAGGTGTGCCAGATATATAAAGATGTTAAATTATTCAAAAAATTGTTGTAAGAATGTGCCCAAGATGGTCCCCAAATCACTGATTTCTGAAGATGTTTTAATCCTTAATTGCAATATTTCATGGGATTTCACATGTATATATCAATTTGACATGTTTGAAGATGAAGTATTGCAATTAAGGATTTAAAAAAATACTCAGCCATGAACACACAAACCCCATAAGTGAAAACATTTTTTTAAATACATTTTTGCAAATTTAATGAAAATGAAATACAGAAATATCTGATTCACATAAGTATTCACACCCCTGAGACAATGCATGTTTGAATCACCTCTGGCAGCGATTACAGCTGTGAGTTTTCTGAGTAAATCTCTTAAGCGTTGCACACCTGGATTGTACAATATTTCCAAATTGTTCTTAAAAAAATTATTCAAGCTCTTTCAAGTTGGTTGTTGATCATTGCTAGACAGACATTTTCAAGTCTTGCCATATATTTTCAAGCTGATTGAAGTCACAACTGTAACTAGGCCACTCAGGAACATTCAATGTTGTCTTGGTAAGCAACTCCAGTGTATATTTGGCCTTGTGTTTTAGGTTATTGTCCTGCTGAAAGTTGAATTTGTCTCCCAGTGTATGTTAGAAACCAGACTGAACCAGGTTTTCCTTTAGGATTTTGCCTGTGGTTCGCTCTATTCTGTTTCTTTTTATCCTAAAAAACTCCCTAGTCCTTGCCGATGACAAGTATACTCATAACATGATGCAGCCACCACCATGCTTGAAAATATGACTAATGGTACTCAGTGATGTGTTGTGTTGGATTTGCTCCAAACATAACACTTTGTATTCTGGACATAAAGTACATTTCTTTACCACATTCTTTGCAGTTTTACTTCAGTGCCTTATTGCAAACAGGATGCATGTTTTGGAATATTTTTTTTTCTGTACAGGCTTCCTTCTTTTCACTCTGTCATTTAGGTTAGTATTGTGGAGTAACTACAATGTTGTTGATCCATCCTCAGTTTTCTCCTATCACAGCCATTAAACTCTGTAATGGTTTTAAAGTCCCCATTGGCCTCATGGTGAAATTCCTAAGCGGTTTCCTTCCTCTCCGGCAACTGAGTTAGGAAGGACGCCGTTATCTTTGTAGTGACTGGGTGTATTGATACACCATCCAAAGTGTAATTAATAACTTCACCATGCTCAAAGGGATATTCAATGTCTTCTTCCAATAGGTGCCCTTCTTTGCGAGGCATTGGAAAACCTCCCTGGTCTTTGTGGTTGAGTCTGTGTTTGAAATTCACTGCTCGACTGAGTGACCTTACAGATAATTGTATGTGTGGGGTACAGAGAAAAGGTAGTCATTCAAAAACTCATGTTAAACACTATTATTGCACACAGAGTGAGTCAATGCAACTTATTATGTGACTTGTTAAGCACATTTTTACTCCTGAACGTATTTAGGCTTGCCATAACAAAGGGGTTGAATACTTACAGTGCCTTTCAAAAGTATTCATCCCCCTTGGTGCTTTTCCTATTTTGTTGCATTACAACCTGTCATTTAAATTGATTTTTATTTGGATTTCATGTAATGGACATACACAAAATAGTCCAAATTGGTGAAGTGAAATGAAAAAAATAACTTGTTTCATAAAATTCTAAAAAATAAATAACGGAAAAGTGGTGCGTGCATATGTATTCACCCCCTTTGCTATGAAGCCCCTAAATAAGATCTGGTGCAACCAATTACCTTCAGAAGTCACATAATTAGTTAAATAAAGTCCACCTGTGTGCAATCTAAGTGTCACATGATCTGTCACATGATCTCAGTATATATACACCTGTTCTGAAAGGCCCCAGAGTCTGCAACACCACTAAGCAAGGGGTACCACCAAGCAAGCGGCACCATGAAGACCAAGGAGCTCTCCAAACAGGTCAGGGACAAAGTTGTGGAGAAGTACAAATAAGGGTTGGGTTATAAAAAAGATCTAAAACTTTGAACATCCCATGGAGCACCATTAAATCCATTATTAAAAAATTGAAAGAATATGGCACCACAACAAACCTGCCAAGAGAGGGCCGCCCACCAAAACTCATGGACAAGGCAAGGAGGGCATTAATCAGAGAGGCAACAAAGAGATCAAAGATAACCCTGAAGGAGCTGCAAAGCTCCACAGCGGAGATTGGAGTATCTTTCCATAGGACCACTTTAAGCCATACACAGAGCTGGGCTTTACGGAAGAGTGGCCAGAAAAAAAGCCATTGCTTAAAGAAAGAAAGAAGCAAACACGTTTGGTGTTCGCCAAAAGCCATGTGGGAGACTCCCCAAACATATGGAAGAAGGTACTCTGGTTAGATGAGACTAAAATTGAGCTTTTTGGCCATCAAGGAAAATGCTATGTCTGGCGCAAACCCAACACCTTTCATCACCCCGAGAACACCATCCCCACAGTGAAGCATGGTGGTGGCAGCATCATGCTGTGGGGATGTTTTTCATTGGCAGGGACTGGGAAACTGGTCAGAATTGAAGGAATGATGGATGGCGCTAAATACAGGGAAATTCAGTCTTCCAGAGATTTGAGACTGGGATGGAGGTTCACCTTCCAGCAGGACAATGACCCTAAGCATACTGCTAAAGCAACACTTGAGTGGTTTAAGGGGAAACATTTATATGTCTTGGAATGGCCTAGTCAAATTCAGACCTCAATCCAATTGAGAATCTGTGGTATGACTTAAAGATTGCTGTACACCAGCGGAACCCTTCCAACTTGAAGGAACTGGAGCAGTTTTGCCTTGAAGAATGGGCAAATATCAGAGTGGCTAGATGTGCCAAGCTTAGAGAGACACACCCCAAGAGACTTGCAGCTGTAATTGCTGCAAAAGGTGGCTCTACAAAGTGTTGACTTTGGGGCGGTGAATAGTTATGCACGCTCAAGTTTTCAGTTTTTTTGTCTTATTTCTTGTTTGTTTCACAATAAAAAATATTTTGCATCTTCAAAGTGGTAGGCATGTTGTGTAAATCAAATGATACAAACCCCCCCAAAAATCAATTTTAATTCCAGGTTGTAAGGCAACAAAATAGGAAAAATTCCAAGGGGGGTGAATACTTTCGCAAGCCACTGTATTGACTCAAGACATTTCAGCTTTTCATTTTTTATTAATTTGTAAACATTTCTAAAAACATAATTCCACTTTGTCATTATTGGGTATTGTGTGTAGGCCAGTGACAAAACATCTACATTTAATCCATTTTAAATTCAGGCTGTAACACAACAAAATGTGGAAAAAGTCAAGGGGTGTGAATACCTTCTGAAGGTATTGTATCACATTATTCCTGCCCCACTGTAGAAAGACATGCATGGGATTCCTGACTAAATTAATGGCATGTTTAGACCAGTTTGAACTCTCTGAGCTGCATTTCTTGCCAGGTAAACATCATAATAAAAGTATCACGATGTGACCAAGACCTCTATTGGACAAAACAATGTGCAGTTATACTTTTTTCAACCTATTATCCTCACATTGTGGACTATTATGTGCCATGCATGCACTCTTTTATCAAAACCATTCCATAAAATTGTTTTGCAATTATGCTCTTCTCCCCTCTCCCCCAGATTGAACACAGCAAGATCTATGGCCCTCTGTGGAAGTCAAAGTACGGGCCCTTGGTGATAGTGAACGTGGCCAGTGCTGAACTGATTGAGCAGGTTTTGAGACAGGAGGGCCGCCACCCCACCCGTACGGACATGCCCCACTGGAGGAGTTACCGCGAGCTGAGGAACCACGCCTATGGGCCCCTCACAGAGTGAGTAGACAGTGGAAACCCAGTCCCAGGCCCTGTCATTGTAGTCTGATCCCAGATCTGTTTGTGCTGCCGTGCCAACTCCTATGGTCATGACAAGGGCCATACACTCTTAGAAAAAAAGGTGCTATCTAGAACCTAAAGGTTATTTGGCTGTCCCCCAGGAGAATCCTTTGAAGAACCTTTTTTGGTTCCAGGTAGAATGCTTTTGGTTTCAGGTAGAAACCTTTTGGGTTCCATGTAGAACACTTTCCACAGAGGTTCTACCTGGAACCAAAAAAGGGTCCTACCTGGAACCAAAAAGGGTTCTCCTATGGGGACAGCAGAAGAACCCTTTTGGAACTCTTTTTTTTTAAGAGTGTAGGAGTTGGCTATACAGTACAATCTAGGATCAGGCTACTGTCATTGCACAGCCAGGATATTTATTATTTATTATTTTAGTATTTTATTAGAATCCCATAAAGCTTCAGCAACTCTTCCTGGGGTCCAAACAAAACATAAAACATGACATAATACATAAGATCAATAGACACAAGTACATCACAAGGACAGAACTACATTCATTTAAAATAAGTATACATGCTTTCATACATTTATGCCTTCATATTCATGTGATTCATAGACACTACTGAATGCAAGTGCAACACACAAAAATGAAAATGGAAATGCAATAACAAGGAGATTCGTTGCAAATAGGCTGACACTTTTTCCTCATCAACACACAATACCCCATAATGACAAAGTGAAAACAGTTTTTTTTTTTAAATTTACTTAAGTATTCAGACCCTTTGCTATGAGACTCGAAATTGAGCTCAGGTGCATTGTGTTTCCTTTGATTATCCTTGAGATGTTTCTACAACTTGATTGGAGTCCACCTGTGGTAAATTCATTTGATTGGACATGATTTGGAAAGGCACACACCTGTCTAAATAAGGTCCCACAGTTGACAGTGCATGTCAGAGCAAAAACCAAGCCATGAGGTCGAAGGAATTGTCCGTAGAGCTCTGAGATGTATTGTGTTGAGGCACAGATCTGGGGAAGGGTACCAAAAAATGTCTGCAGTGTTGAAGGTCCTCATGAACACAGTGGCCTCCATAATTCTTAAATGGAAGAAGTTTGGAACCACCAAGACTCTTCCTACAGCTGGACACCCGGCCAAACTGCACAATCGTTGGAGAAGGGCCTTGGTCAGGGAGGTAACCAAGAACCCGATGGTCACTCTGACAGAGCTCCAGAGATCCTCTGTGGAGATGGGAGAACCTTCCAGAGGAACAACCATCTCTGCAACACTCCACCAATCAGGCCTTTATGGTAGAGTGGGCAGACGGAAGCAACTCCTCAGTAAAAGGCACATGACAGCCCGCTTGGAGTTTGCCAAAAGGCACCTAAAGACTCTCAGACCATGAGAAACAAGATTCTCTGATCTGATGAAACCAATAATTAACTCTTTGGCCTGAATGCCAAATGTCACGTCTGGCGGAAACCTGGCACCATCCCTACGGTGAAGCATGGTGGTGGCAGCATCATGGGATGTTTTTCAGTGGCAGGGACTGGGAGACTAGTCAGGATTGAGGGGAAGATGAACGGAGCAAAGTACAGAGAGATCCTTGATGAAAACCTGCTCCAGGTACACAGGACCTCAGACTGGGCGAAGGTTCACCTTCCAACAGGACAATGACCCTAAGCACACAGTCAAGACAACGCAGGAGTGGCTTCGGGACAAGTCTCTGAATGTCCTTGAGTGGCCCAGCCAGAGCCCAGACTTGAACCCGATCGAACATCTCTGGAGAGACCTGAAAATATCTGTGCAGTGATGCTCCCCACCTAACCTGACAGAGCTTGAGAGGATCTGCAGAGAACAATGGGAGAAACTCCCCAAATACAGGTGTGGCAAGCTTGTAGCGTCATACCCAATAAGACTCAAAGCTGTAATTACTGCCAAAGTTGCTTCAACAAGGTACTTAGTAAAGGGTCTGAATACTGATGTAAATGTGATGTTTCAGTTTTTTATTTTCAATACATTTGCAAACATTTCTAAAAACCTGTTTTCGCTTTGTCATTATGGGGTATTGTGTGTAGATTGATGAGGGGAAAAAACATTTTAACACATGGAGGCCACTGTGTTCATCGGGACCTTCAATGCTGCAGAAATTATTTGGTACAATTCCCCAGATCTGTGCCTCGACACAATCATGTCTCGGAGCTCTACGGACAATTCCTTCGACCTCATGGCTTGGTTTTTGCTCTGACATGCACTGTCAACTGTGGGACCTTATATAGACAGGTGTGTGCCTTTCCAAATCATGTCCAATCAAATGAATTTACCACAGGTGGACTCCAATCAAGTTGTAGAAACATCTCAAGGATAATCAAAGGAAACAGGATGCACCTGAGCTCAATTTCGAGTCTCATAGCAAAGGGTCTGAATACTTATGTAAATATAGCATACAGAGCACAACTGAAGTCCTTACTCTACTGAGGCTTTGCTTACAATTGCGTTCTCTAAGCAGGCCCTGATATCCTAATGCCAAGGGCACACCTTATCTTGAACTTTAAAACACCAGGTGTGCTCAGGAGGGAGATGCTACAAGCTATTTAGGTCAGAGGCGTTGTGCTGTTTTACTTGTATGTAGTTATGTAGTTATTCCTGTGTTGCTTGTTCCAACAGCACACTGAAATATCAGTGTAGTAATAGGCACATGCCCAAGACATTTCACAAGAATTTGACAAGCACAAACACTTGAACCATGGGCTGCATACAGACCAAGAGCCTAGATGAGCCAGACTGTACATGAAACAAAAAACCTAGGACATAAAACCTCAGCATGATCCATCATGTCATGCGTTAACCAGTGTTGTACTAGCAAAGGATTGTGGTGCAAAGGATTGTGGTGCAGCTGGGAGCTAGGTTAAAGAGATTATCCACTACTTTTGAATACTTTTAGCCAGTAGTTCTGAAAGTAGCGCTCACAAGCCAAAAGTGGTCCCCGAAGAATTGTGTACTACATCACATATGTGCAGATATGTGCACCATGTCATTGCGCTCTCTCCCGCTTTGCTGTGTGTGCATCTTGCTAGTTGCCACTCAAATGGCGAGGGGCTGAAGCTCATTGGCTAGAACTCGAATCGCTAGGGGGCTGGCCCACGTGGGACCAAATTTAAGGAAAATGGCGCAGCACTGCTTCCAGAAAAACAGTTGCTTTCAAACTAGGGGTTTTGTGGATAATTGAGGTAAAATAGTAATTCTGCTCATAGATTATGCATGTACGAACTGCACATTGACACATCCAGCCCAAATCGATTGTGTCACTTTTTGCACACAATAATATGGCAGTGGCACATGACACTACGTCACAAAAAGTTGGCAAAATGTGTGGGTTTTCAGTGAATTTATCTAAATCACAAAGCTCATCTGCATTTCCTGTGGTGGGGGGAAATTATCAGCAACAAAAGAGTGATCAAATTAAGATCCTACATCTGTACATAACAAGTTGGCTAAAGTAGAAATTTTAGATTAAATGGAAATGGAGCTCAGTTAGAATGGAAAACAGCATACATGAGAGGGTCTGTCTGCCTATGGGTGTTTTGCATGTTCTCTCTGAAACAGTTCTTCTTTGTTTCAAAGTATTATACAGTACCTCTCTTCTCCATATTAAAGCATGATTCTGTGTGTGTCTATACTACAGGATGGGTGCTCAGTGGCAGCGAATCAGGAGTATCCTGAACCCGCGGATGCTGAAGCCCAAACATGTCTCAGCCTACACCAATGCCATCAATGACGTGGTCACAGACTTCATAGACAAGGTGGCCTGGCTGAGGGAGACCAAGGGAGATGGGGTCATGGTGAACGATCTGGCTGGAGAACTCTACAAGTTCGCCTTTGAAGGTAAACAGAGGACATGACTGTCTGTAATACTTTTCTAGTCCCCCTCAGATTCAAATCTGAACCTCTAAGCCAGTTCCACAGCTTTGAAAAAAATTATTCCGTTCTAATCAGGGACCTGGGACACCAAGTGGGTGCAATTAATTACCCGGTAGAACAGAAAAACAGAACTAGTCCAGACCTCGTAGGGTAAGATTTGAATACACCTGGTCTAGTCATTAGAAAGGAAAATCTTAGAACAATCGAGGAACTGATATCTGCTTCATAAATTATAAAAAGCTGTCCTCCTTTTCATGATCTTATAGTTATGTAAGGACGCTACGTCCTGGTACAGATGCAAGTGTTTCTGTGTCTTTGGTATCTCTTTTCTGTGAATTGGGAGAAGCGTGTGAATGTGAAAGGACAAGGTGCATTGTGAGGGTTGTGACGGCTATATCTGTTAGAGAGCGATGACCTTGAAGTAATTGCACAGTGATCTTTAGCCTTGGAAGTTGAGTAGATACTGAGTAGATGATCGTTTGACTACCTTGATAGGTAGGCAATTCTTATTATAATTTTGAAGGACAGCCTATTCATTTGGTCAAGGGCAGCAGTGACGGAAAATGTGTAACTGAATGTTCTAGATCACGTGTCAAACTCATTCCACGGAGGGTATTTCTTCTCCTCCCTTGTACTTGATTGATGAATTAAGGTAATTATGAAATAATTCATGAAATAATTAGTAAAGAACTCCCCTCACCTGGTTGTCTAGGTCTTAATTGATTCTAGGCCCTCCAAGGAATGAGTTTGACACCCCTGTTCTTGATACATCCTATGGTCTTTGCTCGCATATAACGATTGTATGATGTGACATCATCACCGTCATACACACTGTAAGCTGCCATCCTGATGCTGTAGTGTACCCTTTAACCTCACATAATGCCATCATACTCATGAAATGGTCATAAAGAAACAAACAAGTAATTCATAGGTTATAACTGTGTAATTACCATTTTACCATGCACTTTCTAAGTAAATACCTGCTACTTTCTCTACTGGCATTGAATGTGATGCCTTTGGATATCAATAAAGTATAAATCTATCTAATCTATATACAATGAAATAAACTGATACCATTGTTTCTCTCTGTCCTCAGGGATCTGTTCTGTGCTGTTTGAGACCCGTATGGGCTGTCTGAATGAGGAGGTTCCTGAAGAGACCCAGAAGTTCATTGTCTCAGTAGGAGAGATGTTTCGCCTCTCCCCCATCATCATTCTCTTCCCCAAGTCCACCTGGCCCTACCTCCCCTTCTGGAAACATTTTGTGGCTGTCTGGGATCACCTCTTCAAAGTTGGTGAGTGATCCAGCCTTGAAATCCAGAATGAATCATGCTCTGTTTCACAATAACAATTATGAGAAGAGATGATATTATACTTTATTGTCTGCTTTCTTGCGCAGAAATTATATCACGTATAAAAAATAGTTTAAAAAGGTACACAGTAAAACTTCACGTGACATAACACATCATCACATAGCCATGAACGTAAGTAACCTCTACTGCAAGAAAGCAAGTGAGGGGCGGGATGTAAGGTATATTTGGAGGGCACTCATTTACTCGTTTCGCATGTGAAACATGCAAATGGTACAATGTGTTAATGTTGTTGATGTTATGTTATCATCAACAACAACAACATACACATTGCACGTTTCCGATGTTGGCACTACAGTGACCATACGTACATACATGACTGTAAGTCGCTTTGGACAAAAGCGTCTGCTAAATGGCATATTATATTATTATTATTATTATACCCCAACCAGAAGCCATGGATTACTGTAAGGGTTGGTGTGAGGTGTGACCCAGGTGCGGTGCAGGATAGATAGTAAGCAGAGATGGTGAAACAAGGATCTTTACTGGTGGTCCCAAAGCCAGGATACAAAGCAACAGACTTAACACGATGAAAGAAAGGTGGAGCAAATAAGTCTCCAAAAACAGGCTGACAGCCAAAATACGAATTAGTAACTATGACTGAAATAATAAAGAAACAGGGAGAACACTTCTCGAGTACCTGTACATACTTCTCCGATCAGACACTGATTAGTACTGCTGAGCATAGAGAAGCTAGCAGAGAAAACTGAGCAAGGGAACACAGAGAAGTGAGGGCATAAATACACAGGTGAACAGGTAGACACAGGTGACACCAATAGGATTATGATTAGTCCAGACTGTGAGAAGGAGGTGCCTAAGGTAGTTGGAGGATGACACCTAGTGGGTCGCTCCGGAACTGCGACCCCCTCCTGTATCAGATTACAGGCAACATCCGTACTAAGCTAAAGACTAGAGCTGTCAATTTCAAGGAGCGGGACACTAATCCGGATGCTTATAAGAAATCCCGCTACGACCTCCGACGAGCCATCAACAAGGAAAAGCATCAATACAGGACTAAGATCGAATCCTACTACGCCTGTGGCAGGGCTTGCAAACTATCACGGATTACAAAGGGAATCCCAGCTGCGAGCTGCCCCGCCACGCGAGCCTACCAGACATGCTAAATACCTTCTATGTTCGCTTCAAGGCAAGCAACACTGAACCATGCATGAGAGCACAAGCTGTTCCGGACGACTGTGATCTCGCTCCCTGTAGCCGATGTGAGTAAGACCTTTAAACAGGCCGCTCAGGGGTGTGTGCTTATTCCCCTCCTGGACTCCCTGTTCACCCATGACTGTGTGGCCGCGCACAACTCCCAACACCATTATCAAGTTTGCTGACGACACAATGGTGGTAGGACTGATCACTGACAACGATGAGGCAGCCTATAGGGAGGAGGTCAGAGACCTGGCAGTGTGGTGCCAAGACAACAAACTGTTCCTCAACGTCAGCAAGACCAAGGAGCTGATCGTGGACTACAGGCAATGGAGGGGCGAGCATGCCCCCATCCACGTCGATGGGGCTGTAGTGGAGCGGGTTGAGAGCTTCAAGTTCCTCAGTGTCCACATCACTAAGGAATTAACATGGTCCACACACCAACACAGTTGTGAAGAGGGCAGGACAGCGCCTCTTCCCCCTCAGGAGGCTGAACATTTTTTACATGGGCCCTCAGATCCTCAGAAGATTCTACAGCTGCACCATTGAGAGCATCTTGACTGGCTGCCTCAGCGCTTGGTAGGACAACTGCAAGGCACCCGACCATAAGGCGCTACATAGGGTGGTGAGTACGGCCCAGTACATCACGGGTGCCATCCAGGACCTCTATACCAGGCGGTGTCAGAGGGAGGCCCAAACAATTGTCAAAGACTCCAGCCAACCAAGCCATAGACTGTTCTCTCTGCTACCACACAGCAAGCGATAGCAGTGCACTGACTCTGGAACCAACAGGACCCTGAACAGCATTATACCGCAAAGCCATAAGACTGCTAAACAAGACTGCTAAATAGCTTATCAAATGGCTACCCGCTGCTGCTACTGTCTATTACAGTGGGGGGAAAAAGTATTTAGTCAGCCACCAATTGTGCAAGTTCTCCCACTTAAAAAGATGAGAGACGCCTGTAATTTTCATCATAGGTACACGTCAACTATGACAGACAAAATGAGAAGAAAAAAACCCAGAAAATCACATTGTAGGATTTTTTATGAATTTATTTGCAAATTATGGTGGAAAATAAGTACTTGGTCAATAACAAAAGTTTCTCAATACTTTGTTATATACCCTTTGTTGGCAATGACACAGGCCAAACGTTTTCTGTAAGTCTTCACAAGGTTTTCACACACTGTTGCTGGTATTTTGGCCCATTCCTCCATGCAGATCTCCTCTAGAGCAGTGATGATTTGGGGCTGTCACTGGGCAACACGGACTTTCAACTCCCTCCAAAGATTTTCTATGGGGTTGAGATCTGGAGACTGGCTAGGCCACTCCAGGACTTTGAAATGCTTCTTACGAAGCCACTCCTTCGTTGCCCGGGCGGTGTGTTTGGGATCATTGTCATGCTGAAAGACCCAGCCACGTTTCATCTTCAATGCCCTTGCTGATGGAAGGAGGTTTTCACTCAAAATCTCACGATACCTGGCCCCATTCATTCTTTCCTTTACACGGATCAGTCGTCCTGGTCCCTTTGCAGAAAAACAGCCCCAAAGCATGATTTTTCCACCCCCATGCTTCACAGTAGGTATGGTGTTCTTTGGATGCAACTCAGCATTCTTTGTCCTCCAAACACAACGAGTTGAGTTTTTACCAAAAAGTTATATTTTGGTTTCATCTGACCATATGACATTCTCCCAATCCTCTTCTGGATCATCCAAATGCACTCTAGCAAACTTCAGACAGGCCTGGACATGTACTGGCTTAAGCATGGGGACACGTCTGGCACTGCAGGATTTGAGTCCCTGGCGGCGTAGTGTGTTACTGATGGTAGGCTTTGTTACTTTGGTCCCAGCTCTCTGCAGGTCATTCACTAGGTCCCCCCATGTGGTTCTGGGATTTTTGCTCACCGTTCTTGTGATCATTTTGACCCCACGGGGTGAGATCTTGTGTGGAGCCCCAGATCGAGGGAGATTATCAGTGGTCTTGTATGTTTTCCATTTCCTAATAATTGCTCCCACAGTTGATTTCTTCAAACCAAGCTGCTTACCTATTGCAGATTCAGTCTTCCCAGCCTGGTGCAGGTCTACAATTTTGTTTCTGGTGTCCTTTGACAGCTCTTTGGTCTTGGCCATAGTGGAGTTTGGAGTGTGACTGTTTGAAGTTGTGGACAGGTGTCTTTTATACTGATAACAAGTTCAAACAGGTTCCATTAATACAGGTAACGAGTGGAGGACAGAGGAGCCTCTTAAAGAAGAAGTTACAGGTCTGTGAGAGCCAGAAATCTTGCTTGTTTGTAGGTGACCAAATACTTATTTTCCACCATAATTTGCAAATAAATTCATAAAAAATCCTACAATGTGATTTTCTGGGTTTTTTTCTTCTCATTTTGTCTGTCATAGTTGACGTGTACCTATGATGAAAATTACAGGCGTCTCTCATCTTTTTAAGTGGGAGAACTTGCACAATTGGTGGCTGACTAAATACTTTTTTTCCCCACTGTATCTATCCTGTTGCCTAGTCAGTTTAACCCTACCTACAGTTGAAGTCGGAAGTTTACGTACACTTTAGCCAAATACATTTAAACTCAGTTTTTCACAATTTCTGACATTTAATCCTAGAAAAAAATATGTTTTAGGTCAGTTAGGATCACCACTTTATTTTAAGAATATGAAATGTCAGAATAATACTAGAGATAATTATTTATTTCAGCTTTTATTTCTTTCATCACATTCCCAGTGGGTCAGAAGTTTACATACACTCAATTAGTATTTGGTAGCATTGCCTTTAAATTGTTTAACTTGGGTCAAACATTTCGGGTAGCCTTCCACAAGCTTCCCACAATAAGTTGGGTGAATTTTGGCCCATTCCTCCTGACAGAGCTGATGTAACTGAGTCAGGTTTGTAGGCCTCCTTGCTCGCACACGCTTTTTAAGTTCTGCTCACACATTTTCTATAGGATTGAGGTCAGGGCTTTGTGATGGCCACTCCAATACCTTGACTTTGTTGTCCTTAAGCCATTTTGCCACAACTTTGGAAGTATGCTTGGGGTCATTGTCCATTTGGAAGACCCATTTGCGACCAAGCTTTAACTTCCTGACTGATGTCTTGAGATGTTGCTTCAATAGAATTTTCCTTCCTCATGATGCCATCTATTTTGTGAAGTGCACCAGTCCCTCCTGCAGCAAAGCACCCCCACTGCATGATCCTGCCACCCCCGTGCTTCACGGTTGGGATGGTGTTTTTCGGCTTGCAACACCCCCTTTTTCCTCCAAACATAACGATGGTCATTATGGCCAAACAGTTCTATTTTTGTTTCATCAGACCAGAGGACATTTCTCAAAAAAGTACGATCTTTGTCCACATGTGCAGTTGCAAACCGTAGTCTGGCTTTTTTATGGTGGTTTTGGAGCAGTGGCTTCTTCCTTGCTGAGCGGCCTTTCAGGTTATGTCGATATAGGACTCGTTTTACTGTGGATATAGATACTTTTGTACCTGTTTCCTCCAGCATCTTCACAAGGGTCCTTTGCTGTTGTTCTGGGATTGATTTGTACTTTTCGGACCAAAGTACGTTAATCTCTAGGAGACAGAACGCATCTCCTCCCTGAGCGGTATGACGGCTGCGTGGTCCCATGGTGTTTATACTTGCGTACTATTGTTTGTACAGATGAACATGGTACCTTCAGGCATTTGGAAATGGCTCCCAAGGATGAACCAGACTTGTGGAGGTCTACAATTTTTTTTATGAGGTCTTGGCTGATTTCTTTTTTGATTTTCCCATGATGTCAAGCAAAGAGGCACTGAGTTTGAAGGTAGGCCTTGAAATACATCCACAGATACACCTCCAATTGACTCAAATGATGTCAATTAGCCTATCAGAAGCTTCTAAAGCCATGACATCATTTTCTGGAATTTTCCAAGCTGTTTAAAGGCACAGTCAACTTAGTGTATGTAAACATCTGACCCACTGGAATTGTGATACAGTGAATTATAAGTGAAATAATCTGTCTGTAAACAATTGTTGGAAAAATTACTTGTGTCATGCACAAAGTAGATGTCCTAACCGACTTGCCAAAACTATAGTTTGTTAACAAGAAATTTGTGGAGTGGTTGAAAAATGAGTTTTAATGACTCCAACCTAAGTGTAAGTAGACTTCCGACATAGCTACCTCAATTACCTCGTACCCCTGCACATCGACTCGATACTGGTACTCCCTGTACATAGCCATGTTATTTTTACTCGTTATTCACTGTATTTATTCCTTGTGTCTCTATTTAAAAATATGTACATGCTTTTGTAAACAAGGTGTAGACTAACAGTGAAATGCTCACTTTCAGTTATTTGAAAAGGAAATAATCTCCCAAATGTCACTATTTCTAAAACAAGCCATAGAAAGTTGGTTGCAATTTCAATTTAATCCTCCAGAAACGACAGAACAAATAATGCAACAAATATTGTGGTTAAATTCAAATATACTAATTGACAAAAAACCTTTATTTTTTGACAGAATGTTTAAAAAAGGTATAATCTTCGTAAATGATATCATCGGTAGGACTGGTGGAGTTATGTCGCACATGCAGCTAACAAAAACATATGGAAATGTCTGCTCTACCCAAAATTACAACCAAATAATTGCAGCCTTACCGCAAAAGTGGAAGAGGAAAGTTGAAGGGGGAGAAAGTAAGGAACTTGTCTGTCGGCCTTGCATTAAAGAACATAATTGGTTAAGGAAAACTGTGATAAATAAAAAAGTATATCAGTTTCACTTAAGGACCAAAGGATTGACAGCCGTCCCATATAGATTGCAAAATAGTTGGGAAGAGATCTTTGACGTACCAATCCCATGGCATAGTGTTTATGAACTGACACGCAAAACGACACCGGATTCAAAAATTAGAATCTTTCAATTTAAATTATTATTAAAAATTAAAATTCTTGCTACCAATAGAATGTTATTGATATGGGGGATACAATCTTCCCAGCTCTGCAGATTTTGCTGTGAAGAGATAGAATCATTAGATCATTTGTTTTGGTTCTGTCCATTTGTAGCTTGTTTTTGGACACAGGTCCAGGAATGGCTAAAGGATTGCAATATTTACCTGGAACTAACCTTGCAGATAGCATTACTGGGTGATCTGAAAAGTCATAGTCAATCAATCAATAATATAATAATACTTTTAGCAAAAATGTTTATTTTTAATTCACAATCTGTAGAAGCAATGAGAATAGAAAGGTTCAGAACTTTTGTAAAACATCACAGTATGGTTGAAATATATATGGCAAATAGAAATCCTATATGGATGGTGTTAAGAGATAGATGGGAGGTATTGAATAGAGTTGAAGGATGGGACTAATAACAAATAACAACAAATAATAACAAAGATAGCTAATAATGTAAGCATACTGTGTCCATAATAAGTATATAGGTTGTATGTTGGGAGCTTTTGGGAAAGAGCACAGTTAGAAAGATATGGCATTTAGAAGCAAACCGGATGGACATCATGAAAATGATCGGAGAGGTTGAGAGTAGAAGAAGTTCAGGAGCAAAAAAAAAAAATATATATATATATATATATATATATATATATATATATATATATATATATATATATATATATATATATGGATATAGAATTATTGTAAAATTAACTCTGTCCATAAGGTGTAGATAGTAATTATAGACCGGAAGTAGAGGCCTGGGCGTTGTTGTTCACTAATTTACTCCAAGTAGGGAAAGGATGGTGGGGTTGAAAAGTAATAAAGGGGAATATATAAAAAATAAAAAAAACATGGGGGATTGGAAGTGATGCAGACAATTACATTGATAGAAGATACAATCTATCTGCAATATTAAGCTGATCCATCCCCCCCCCCCCAAAAAAAAAAAAAATGAAACAAAATAAAAATAAAGAAAGAAAAAAACAGTGAAATGCTTACTTAATGGTCCTTTTTCAACAATGCAGAGTTAAAGATATAAATATATAACATTTGATTTAATTTCTCATGTGAAAGGAGTGAGTGCCCCCACATACCCTACAATACTACGTCTCCTTTAGTTTCAGCAGAGGTTTCTAAAGTTCATGGCTGTGTTTCAGCTCTAAGCAAATCAAACAGGTTCACTGCTCGTGGCTAGAGACATGCCCCACTAAGCAAAGTTCACGCTGATAATCCTTGCCTTGTTGGGTTGAGCTCAGGGTGCGCTATAGGCTACATTGTAGAATATCGCCATCTAGTGGCAGATATCATACATGAGCAAAAATAAAATCCCATCATGAGTCAGGTCCATAGCAAGGATGAATTTCAAAAGTCTTTCCTCGATTATTTGCATCCTCTCCTTGCCTCCTCCTCAGAACATCAGAGGGAAGTGAGGGAGGAGAAGACTATGCAATGCTATCCTCGCTCTTCTTTGATGTTTTGAGAAGAAGGCGAGGATGTCACACTCTCTTGCTTAGCCAGTACTACTTTCTCCTGATTCAGCTCATACTGAGGCTTGAACACAGGACATCTCACTTGCAAACACCTGTACCCGCCCTCCTGAAGCGTCTTACCCAGTTGCGCCACTGAAAAGCAAGCTATTCTGCAGAGCAAGTGGGACACTTCAGGCTGAGGAGTGAGTTTCACAGATCCCTATCTGCTACACAAGGAATTGAGAAAAGACTTGAGATTCACCCTAAGTATCTATATTGTCTTTGTGCTGGTTGCTGTGTCCTCTGACCTCTGCCCTCTCCCCATGCAGCTGAGGAGCAGGTGCGTCAGAAGATGGAGGAGATCCAGGAGAGGGTGCGCCTGGGCCAGCCGGTGCAGGGAGAGTACCTCACACACCTCCTGGTCAGTGAACAGATGTCTGTCACTGAGATACTGGGCTCCATCACTGAGCTACTGCTGGCTGGGGTCGACACGGTGAGGATAAGGGGTGTGTGTGTGTGTATGTGTGTGTGTCTTAAAATACCAGTGAGGAGCTGTTTCACAGAAGGGTGGAAACAGGTGGAGAATGGGGTGATGGCCAGGTGGGGGTATGTTTTTTTTTCTTAATTTCAGCCATTTTAGATTGTGATTTGTTGAGTGAACATTTGCAACATAACCACATTAGCTACCTACGTCATGTACAGTTACAACAGCAGCATAACAGTATCAGTACAATATTATTAGCTTACAACCTATTCCTATTGTAATTGTTTTTGTATGCTCCAGACGTCCAACACCATCTCGTGGTCTCTGTACCACATGGCCCTGGAGCCAGAGATCCAGGAGAAGCTGTACCAGGAAGTGAACAGTGTCTGCCCGGGGGACAAGGTGCCTACTAGTGATGACATCGCCAGAATGCCCTGGCTTAAGACTGTTGTCAGGGAGACACTACGGTACGTTAATAGTAATCTGTCATCCCCACTCAGGTCATTTCAGTAAATTCACTCATTAATAAAGTGAATAATGGGTTATTAAAGTTATTATATTCATAATGAATTCTTCATAATTAATTATAATGAGTTGTTAAATTAATTCTACATCACTGTGCCTATGTGTAATTTTTTAGAAATTATTTATTTATTGTTAATTAGTCAAATGGAGCCAATCCCTTCCTCTCTCGAAGCTGTACCACATAGAGCTATATTTTAGCATGAACTCTGCAGTCGAAACGAACTCCACTGTAGCGAACTCTTACGCCTGCGCATGCGCACGCTCTCTCACCACCATGTGTGCAAACACACTTCCTCTCTACCCCTAGTGACTGTCTTGTATACTCCCTCCCCAGGATGTACCCAGTAGTACCAGGAAATGCCCGCATCAATGTGGAAAACGAGATAGTTGTGGGGGACCACCTCTTCCCCAGAAATGTGAGTTTTACATTTGTGATCTTGTACTGTTGGAAATGGTTGCTATTGGTGAACTTAATTATTTTCATCCTGTATGTAGAGGAGATCCGATCACACTTGTATATTCAGTTTTATCCAGAGATATACATGTAGTTTCACCATTCAATATTTGATTTAGTTAAAATCCAGGGTAGAGTTTTGGTTTGTCAATATCGCTCATACCAAACAGTTATACAGTATAACATTACCACAGATCAGAGTTAGAGAGCGGCTGTGTTTGACTGTTCTCCCTCTCTTCTGTCCTCTCCCTCCATCACCGCTCTCTCCTCCTTTCTTTCCATCTCTCTGTTCCAGACCCTGTTCCACCTGTGTCACTATGCCGTGTCCTATGACCAGACAGTGTTCCCGGAGCCCCATGCCTTCCTTCCAGAGCGCTGGCTCCGTGGGGGCCGGGGGGAAGACAAGAAGAACCAGCACCCCTTTGGCTCAGTGCCCTTCGGTTTCGGAGTCCGGGCCTGCCTGGGCAGGAGGGTGGCCGAGCTGGAGATGTACCTCATCCTCTCAAGGGTAAAAATTCCAGGCCTGCTCTGTACTGTTATAGCATCAGCTACCCCTACAGCAGCTACCCTTCATTAAACAGCATTATTCTGTTGTTATGTAGAACTGTAATAGTAACTTGGGATGCAGACCACATGGTACAAAGCAAGCTTTTCTGCTTCTGGTAATGGTCAGGCAACTGTGTGATAGAACAGGGGTCAATACAGCATCCTCTGTCTATAATACATTTCCTACAACAATTTTCATATTTCATTTGACAGTGACTCTAGAGGGTTGAGAGGTTAAAGCTACGGTAGGTTATACAAGTTTAACCTACTGTTTAGCCCCAACCCCAGGACATTGAGTAAGTTAGTTAGTTAGTGTTGCTCTAGTCTGTAGTAACAGTCTTAAATAATCTGGTTCAACTGGTTGTGGTGTTCCTCTGTTAGCTTTGGCATTGGAAGAAAAACATGACAGACCAGATCTCCACCTTTGGTCTGATTCATCCCTCTGTTAGCTTTGTCATTGGAAGGAAAACATGACAGACCAGACCATCACCTTTGGTCTGATTCATCCCATCTTCATACATGGTGATACCATAAATCTGTCTGTCGGCATGGAAATGTAATCATTAACTTAACTCGGATTGTTGGAAGGAGTTGTACTTTCAAACCTCCAGCCTTTAAGATCCTGTATAGTGTTCTAATATTTTTTATTGATTCAGAGATTTTACAGTTTAATAATAGGATAGAACAATGACTTTCACATTATCTATTTACTGTAAATGTTTAAACTGTCACGACACATTGTGATAAAACATTGCCATTAATTTACCCACTAGGAGAGATATGAACTAGGTTCTAGGTTATTGTGCAATTCATGAGTTTTTATTTTTGTTCCTTTTATCTATTATGTCAGTATATCTCTTTCCATTGAACATGTGGATAGCTGATATTCTCTCAGATTAGGACAATAACATACTAATGTCAACATGTTTTCCTCTCTCTGTCCTCCCAGTTGATAAAACACTATGAAATACGCGCAGATCCTGCCGGAGCCACAGTCAAGCCAATCACAAGAACCCTTCTTGTCCCTGCTACCCCAATCAACCTGCAGTTTATTGATAGGACAGTCCAGTAGCAAGAGGAACCAATGGCAGCAGAAGGAGTTTCCCTATGAAACACATTAGTATCAAAGATTGTCTATTATATTGACAAAATAGTCAAGTGACCGCTGTAACAATGGAAATACATGTCCTCAAAGATGGAAGGCAGGCGGGAGGAGGCGAGATCAGGTGGGAACATTCTAGCCAATGAGAGGGCAGATACGCATGTGAACAGCAGGCTAAAGAGATAGATAGAGGACTCATCTTTGTATCTGTGCTATTATAGCGTCTGTGACAGGATGGGCAGCGTCATTGAGGCTATCGCCATTTTAAAGTAGTCCATTTTCTTCTTCATTGATTGCTCCATCTTCAGTGGCTGAATTCCCACCCAATTGACTACTTTAAAATGGTGGAAGCCCTCAATGGCAATGTCCATGCTAAAGCGTGTTATATCCATGATGAGTTCTCTATCTATTTCTATGACAACAGGCACAACTCAAAGTTGCCGAAATGCCACGTGCATCCACTGATATCAGTGCATTCGTAACAACCTAACCATTAAGAAACTTCTATTCAAGCAAATAAGCCTCACATAGCAAATTAGCAATTTTTTGTTGACCAAATTAGACACTCTCATTGGTCTCTATACAGAAATTCCTCATTTTGTGTGCTTATTTTCGTGGACAGATTTTGGGCGGAGTAAAACTCTCGCTTCTCCTCTTCCTCTCTGTTAGTATGCACACCGTGTAAGTCTTCATGTCACCAAGCACTTGTTAATGGACAAGTCACTAAGTGTACTACTTTACCTCATTTAACTTTCCCATGCCTTAATAAATGACCCACAAATGTGTAACATCATGACCACAACACAGCGAGACCACAGTAAGACCCTGTTGTTGACGGTGTGTTGTCATTATTTTAACATTTATTTGTTTCGTTTAATTTAGCAACAACTGTCTTGCTCCAGTTGAGGCTATTTGTTATTTGTCGCTAATAAACACTGTGTAATTTGTATGTTCTTTTTAAAAGTTATGTGATTTTAAAATGTATTTTATGTTATATGACAATGCACATAATATTATAGATGTATAATTACCTACAAAGTTATGTTGTTGATGTTACAATTTTCAGTATTGAAGACCAATAGAAAAAGTATGGGCTTTAATTGAAGATATATTTCATTTAAAAAATAGAAAAAATATAAATGAATGTAACAATAAAATTGCCTTATAAACTCAGACATTTTTGTGATGTATTGGTGTACTTTTCACAGAGGTCCCTCTTGAGGACATTCTCTAGTATTACACTGATTTATAAGACAGTTTGCACTTTGCCCAATGAAAGCTGGGCTAAGTCCCAAATGGCACCCTATCTCCTAGTGCACTGATTTTGACCTGGGCCCATAGGGGATAGGGTGCCATTTGGGATGCAGAGTTTTAGCCGCAACACTACTAGAGATGCTACTGCGGAATAACAGCTGGTACTGCTGGGAATCTTCAATTATGAGGTTCCGCAATTCCACAGTTCCACTATTTGTTTTACTAATTTACTCACCAATCTGTAACAGTATGATATTACACTGTTGTTACACTGGCATAAAGCTACTGTAATATAAAGTGCCACAGAAAAGGGTTGTGACTAGAGAGAGTACAGCTACGACCGGAAGTTACTTTTCATAGCAGGTTAGGAGAGCATTTTAGCTAACCCTAACCCTTTTCCTAACCTTAACCTAAGTCTCCTAACCTGCCACGTTAATTATCCTAACCTGCTACGAAAAAGTCACTTCCGTCGTAGCTGTACTCCCTTTAGTCAGAACCACAGAAAAGGTTAGATTTTCTCCACCAGATAGTAAGACTAGATACGTCTTAGGTATACTGAAGAGTCTTTTATCACAAAATATATTTAGTAAAAGTCCTGTTATTCATGTTTCCCAAGTATTCAATTCAATTCAAATAACTTTTATTTCATGAGAGGGTACTTCCTGTGCGGTGACGGGTTGATACATACAAGACACTTAACAACATAGCAAAATAGAACACAAAAACATTAACAGTATAATAGATTAGATTAGAAGTAATCTATGCAATCACGGGCTATATATACACATATAAAACATAAAAAACGAGAAGCTGCTCTCTTAGACTTGTATGACAGATCTACAGTATATCTGCGTCCAGAGGGTATGGTACTGGTCATGGAGTGTGTACGTAATGTCCAAGGCTATTTGTTCCCCCTTCTTCCTCACTTGTTTTTTTTTAATAGATGTCACTAAGGGGTTTCTGGCTTTCTGCAATGACCTTCCCACTGATTTTTATTACAATGGGTTCTAACAAGTGTTCCATAGAGCACCAAACCACTGCACAATATTAAAAGCTAGGATGGATTCTATAAAGTATTTATAAAATGCTTGGAGGATGGATTGGTGTACATTACACTTCCTACATTTCTGTAAAAAGATCAGCCGTTGTTGAGATTTAGAGTGAATCTGTTCAGTGTTCCTTTTGAAGGAGAGCTTGTTGTGAATGATGGTTCCTAGGTATTTATAGTGCTCCACTCACTCAATAATCTGTCTGTTAATCTCCCCTTCAAAGAGCATAGTTTGAAGTGCATCCTCATCCCTAGATAACCATCACGCCAAATGGTGCAGTTTCTGTCCTCATTTGAATATCATAAAGGAATAAAAGAAAGGTGTTGGCATGAAATTGCAATATAAAACATGGGACCTTTACACTTTATGACATTATTTGGAGTTAATTGTGACTTAAAATGCATTTGACAAATCAGTGTTGTGGATTTAGAGCGAGGTCATTTGAAGTCACTCAATGATAAGCGTAATAAGGAATATCACTATCAGATCTATTTGCTTATTTTAGTTACCATAGATGCAGCTATTCAGTTGGCACAAAATTATGTTTAGAAAACAACCGATGTTTGAAACTGATAACCCTTTTGAAAGTGGTTCCATATTGAACTTGCAGGCTCAATTTCCTTTTCACATTACAGGTTTTAACATAGCCTATATCTGAGACAGTGCTAGAAGGGTCCTATGGTCAGAATTTCATAGAAGCAATTGAAGTCTTTCAGTGACATAGTGCCATAGTGAATTAGATTACTGAGTACAGGTCCTTGTATGGGTTGTTGTTTTCAATGGCCCAGGGTTCCCCTCTCTCTCTCTCTCTCTCTCTCTCTCTCTCTCTCTCTCAATTCAATTTTTTCAATTTAAGGGCTTTATTGGCATGGGAAACGTGTGTTAACATTGCCAAAGCAAGTGAAGTAGATAGTAAACAAAAGTGAAATAAACAATAAATATTAACAGTAAACATTACACTCAGAAGTTTCAAAAGAATAAAGACATTTCAAATGTCATATTATGTATATATACAGTGTTGTAACAATGTGCAAATAGTTAATGTACAAATGGGAAAATAAATAAACATAAATATGGGTTGTATTTACAATGGTGTTTGTTCTTCACTGGTTGCCCTTTTCTTGTGGCAACAGGTCACAAATCTTGCAGCTGTGATGGCACACTGTGGTTTTTCACCCAGTAGATAAGGGAGTTTATCAAAATTGGGTTTGTTTTCTAATTCTTTGTGGATCGCTGTAATCTGAGGGAAATATGTGTCTCTAATATGGTCATACATTTGGCAGGAGGTTAGGAAGTGCAGCTCAGTTTCCACCTCATTTTGTGGGCAGTGTGAACATAGCCTGTCTTCTCTTGAGAGCCAGGTCTGCCTACGGCGGCCTTTCTCAATAGCAAGGCTATGCTCACTGAGTCTGTACATAGTCAAAGCTTTCCTTAAGTTTGGGTCAGTCACAGTGGTCAGGTATTCTGCCACTGTGTACTCTCTGTTTAGGGCCAAATAGCATTCTAGTTTGCTCTGTTTTTTTGTTTGTTCTTTCCAATGTGTCAAGTAATTCTCTTTTTGTATTCTCATGATTTGGTTGGGTCTAATTGTGTTGTTGTTGTTGTTGTTGTTGTTGTCCTGGGGTTGTGTGGGGTCTGTTTGTGTTTGTGAATAGAGCCCCAGGACAAGCTTACTTAGGGGACTCTTCTCCAAGTTCATCTCTCTGTAGGTGATGGCTTTGTTATGGAAGGTTTGGGAATCGCTTCCTTTTAAGTGGTTATAGAATTTAACGGCTCTTTTCTGGATTTTGATAATTAGCGGGTTTTGGCCTAATTCTGCTCTGCATGCATTATTTGGTGTTTTACGTTGTACACGGAGGATGTTTTTGCAGAATTCTGCATGCAGAGTCTCAATTTGGTGTTTGTCCCATTTTGTGAATTCTTGGTTGGTGAGCGGACCCCAGACCTCACAACCATAAAGGGCAATGGGTTCTATTACTGATTCAAGTATTTTTAGCCAGATCCTAATTGGTATGTCAAATGTTATGTTCCTTTTGATGGCATAGCAGGCCCTTCTTGCCTTGTCTCTCAGATCGTTCACAGCTTTGTGGAAGTTACCTGTGGCGCTGATGTTTAGGCTGAGGTATGTATAGTTTTTTGTGTGCTCTAGGGCAACGGTGTCTAGATGGAATTTGTATTTGTGGTCCTGGCAACTGGACCTTTTTTGGAACACCATTATTTTTGTCTTACTGAGATTTACTGTCAGGGCCCAGGTCTGACAGAATCTGTGCAGAAGATCTAGGTGCTGCTGTAGGCCCTCCTTGGTTGGTGACAGAAGCACCAGATCATCAGCAAACAGAAGACATTTGACTTCAGATTCTAGTAGAGTGAGGCCGGGTGCTGCAGACTGTTCTAGTGCCCTCGCCAATTCGTTGATATATATGTTGAAGAGGGTGGGGCTTAAACTGCATCCCTGTCTCACCCCACGGCCCTGTGGAAAGAAATGTGTGTGTTTTTTTTAACCAATTTTAACCACACACTTGTTGTTTGTGTACATGGATTTTATAATGTCGTATGTTTTTCCCCCAACCCCACTTTCCATCAATTTGTATAGCAGACCCTCATGCCAAATTGAGTCAAAAGCTTTTTTTAAATCAACAAAGCATGAGAAGACTTTGCCTTTGTTTTGGTTTGTTTGTTTGTCAATTAGGGTGTGCAGGGTGAATACGTGGTCTGTCGTACGGTAATTTGGTAAAAAGCCAATTTGACATTTGCTCAGTACATTGTTTTCACTGAGGAAATGAACTAGTCTGCTGTTAATGATAATGCAGAGGATTTTCCCAAGGTTGCTGTTGACGCATATCCCACGGTAGTTATTGGGGTCAAATTAAGATCCTACACCTGTGTGTGTGGAAATCAGGAAATACACGAAAACGTTTTTGTGTGAACAATTGTTTTTTTCAGTCACTTATCTCTTATCTCCATGAGAAACAAAACAAAAATGCATAATAACAAAACCCTAGAAATGCATGATAACTTGTCCAAAAATGTCCCAGTTAAAAGTGCCAGAACATATGGAAGTTGTCCAATTCATGAGGTCATCAAAAAACAAGAAGGACCAAAGGCACTCTTCATATAATTAAAATGCCTTCATTTTTACGGTATTTTTAATGTAACAAAGATGTAAAAAAAAACCGATGCGTTTCAGCAGCATGGACTTCGGCAGGGAGTAGACTAACGAAGTTACGAGTTACGAATTATGAATTCACATCAAGCCAACTACTGCCACAGTTTAATCAATTAAATTGGCAGACAAATAATTTGATAAGAAAATGATGAGAGATAAATGTTCTCTAAACTTTGTGTCATAAGGTAGGCCTAGCCTACCCTATTTTGCGTGAGCAAACACTACTGTTAGGCTACTATCCACCAATGGGACTCATGGAACTCACAGGCTATAATCACTTCAGGCCAATTTCAACAGGCATTCCACGCTCAGGTTTGCGTGTTCAAAAACTCAAACAAGAACTCTATTGTGCATCCAGAGTCTGGTTCACAGGCATGTTCCCATACAGTGCAGTCTCTGCTGGGCTATATGAAAGTAAAGGAATATCTGCTATTCTGCTGACAGTAGCAGATCTGTACTGAACAGTCCTTGAAGTCACAAATTCATGGATCTGGAGTCGAATATTAACTAACGGGTTGAACATGTGTTATAAGAGAGCTGCGTTTTGCATTACTGCGCAGGGCGCTCAGAGTCACAGACAAGAGAGGAACGGATTTGGACACACGTCAAGACGTCCACCCACCGATGCGACACTAGTGTGCCAAAAACACTCCAGAAAACACAGAAGAAATGGAGAAACGAAAGGGTATTGCATGTCTTTTTATTGGATCCATGGTCCGTGGATATTTGAAGGAAAGAGTTTTACACACAAACTTTGTTATCAATAGTTTTCCGTTTTTTGTAGTGAATGGTGAATGAATGACGCGTGGATATGCTCTGTCTGCAACTCTCAGACTGTCGTGATAAAGTTATGCATTCCAGTGCTTGACAAGATGGATGGATGTAGGCAAATTTGTAACATGCTCGATTTATAGAAATGCTGAAATATGTGGAAGTTGTCATTTTGCCTTTAGTGTTTTGGTTTTCACTGCAAAACTTCTGAGGATGTTTTCTAATTTGCTCTATTATTGCACATTATCTCGTAAAATAGTACCATCAACCACTCTCTTCTCATAGGCCATATAGTCTAATAATAATGAGTAGTCGATTATTCATTATTATTTTATTATTAATAGTCAGTAGAGTAATAATGGCAATTCCCAGAAATGATTGACCAAATTGACTTTTATTTGCCACTGAGTGAATACTGCAATACGGGTTAGATTTAATTGCATTTGACAGAAGGCCTGTATTTATTAAAGATTATGCTTAAAGTAACTGTCCCGTGAAAATCTCACTTTTTAAAAGTTCATATTCTGTTAACTCATACTCAAATAATGTTGGTATTTGTGGCCAAAGCATAAATTGGAGAAAAAACACTTAAAAAACCCCATCTCAAACTTATATCTCAAACAGACATTAAAAAAATGTTTACTATTTCCTGAGGAGGATGAGCTGGTCAATCAGTGGTCTACTTGCATGAATATTTTTAATGACCCGAATACACTCACACCAATCTGTTGTTGAAGTACGCCCACACCATTCCAACACAGAAAAGCTGTTTTTTATCATACTTAATAAATACAAATTGGAAGGAAAATGATTTCACTCATATTGTAATTCATTATAGGTCTTATTTCATAGAAATCTGAAAACACTGGACAGTTACTTTAAATGTAGATACAGTATGGCATGTCATGTCCATGCATCTTGTAAATGCAATACCTCTAACATTATGTTATTTTGTGATTGCCTTACAGAGCACGAGTTGAAAATTCATGAAAATGTAAAGACAAGCAAATCACCGGTAATTTTTGACATTTCTCTACTTTCATGTTTTATTGCACTATATCCATGATCCTGTCTTTGGAAAGTGCCTTGAACAGGCACAATGGATATGGATTGGATAATTCTTGGCAAGTGGCATCTTAGTTTTCTGGGTTAGTTTTCTGGGTTTCTTAGTTGAGCAACATTTCAACTTTCACTTCTTGTTCTTCAGACCTTAGTAGTACTTGTCATTTTTTTGTACCATGAATGGACAATGTCATTTTTATTTATTATTATTATTATTTATTTTTTTTTACTTTTTTTTTTGTCACTTAGCAGACGCTCTTATCATCATTTTATTGTTTAACTGATTGTAGTTAGAATGGATATGGGCTACTCCAGTAAACTGTACACACAGTCTTTATGAACTCTCTTTCTCTCTCCCTTCTCCCCTATCTCTGTCTCTCTTTCTCTTTTCTCCTCAGAAACTATGTGGGACCAACTACCCTGTCAGCATCTCCTTTATAGTGGTGAATGAGTTCTGTGAACGCTTCTCCTACTATGGCATGAAAGGTATAGTAACCTATAATTAAGAATGTTTCTCCTAACTAAGAACCTAATTAAGAATCTAATAAAGAATGATTATCCTAAGTAAGAACCTAACTAAGAACATTTCTAAGAACGGTTCTCCTACTATGGCTTGAAAGATAGGTAACCTAACTAAGACACAAACAGGCCTCATGAGCAGGCAAGTGCTCAACAGGGCTCAAGGGCTCAACAGCGGCGGCCCGCCCATTAGGACATTAGGGGCAGCTCCCCTACAATAAATACATATATTTTTAATTATACTGAACAAAAATAAAAATGCAACATGCAAAAATTTCAACGATTTTACTTAGTTACAGTTACAGTTCATATAAGGAAATCAGTCAATTGAAATAAATAAATTAGGCCTAATCTATGGATTTCACATGACTGGGAATACATATATGCATCTGTTGGTCACAGATAATTAAAAAATAAGGTAGGGGCGTGGATCAGAAAACCAGTCAGTATCTGGTGTGACCACCATTTACCTCATGCAGCGTGACACATCTCCTTCGCATAGAGTTGATCACGCTGTTGATTGTGGCCTGTAGAATGTTGTCCCACGCCTCTTCAATGGCTGTGTGAAGTTGCTGGATATTGGTGGGAACTGGAACACGCTATAGTACATGTCAACCCAGAGCATCCCAAACATGCTCAATGGGTGACATGTCTGGTGAGTATGCAGGCCATGGAAGAACTGGGACATTTTCAGCTTCCAAGAATTGTGTACACATCCTTGCGACATAGGGCCGTGCATTATCATGCTGAAACATGAGGTGATGGCGGTGGATGAATGGCACGACAATGGGCCTCAGGATCTCGTCATTCAAATTGCCATTGATAAAACGTAATTGTGTTCGTTGTCCGTAGCTTATGCCTGCCCATACCATAACCCCACCACCACCATGGGGCACTCTGTTCACAACATTGACATCAGCATACCGCTCACCAACACGACGCCATACACGTGGTCTGCGGGTTGTGAGGCAGATTGGATGTACTGCCAAATTCTCTAAAACAACGTTATGGATTATGTTTTAAATCCTCATAAAAGTGTGGTAAGTGTGTACATTTTCATATTTCAAAAATATATTGTTCAAAAGAAGCTGTTCAGTTACTTACTACTCTGCCCCTCAGTAACTGCCAGCAGCGGCAGCTCCGCCTCCGTGGGTGCATAGGGCGTGCGAACATGGATTGTTTTGCCAGCTATTTGCTATGAGGGGGAACTGACCCAATGAAATCGCAGGAGCATAAATAGCATAAATTATAACAGCACAAAGTAAATGGACCATCCTGGGGAAATCAAATATGTGTCTGTTCAGTCAGAACTTCTGGGTCTGCTCTAGTCTCCCTGACAATGATTATCTTGCGTCAGACGGCTTACTTCCGCATGTCAAATTAGGCTTATGGTAGAGAAATTAACATTACATTCTCTGGCAACAGCTCTGGTGGACATTCCTGCAGTCATCATGCCAATTTCATGCTCCCTCAAAACTTGAGTCATCTGTGGCATTGTGTTGTGTGACAAAACTGCACATTTTAGAGTGGCCTTTTATTGTCCCCAGCACAAGGTGCACCTGTGTAATGATCATGCTGTTTAATCAGCTTCTTGATATTCCACACCTGTCAGGTGGATGGATTATCTTGGCAAAGGAGAAATGCTCACTAACAGGGATGTAAACAAATTTGTGCACAGAATTGTAGAGAAATAAGCTTTTTGTGCATATGGGAAATTTCTGGGATCTTTTATTTCAGCTCATGAAACTAACACTTTACATACATTTTACATTTTCGTCATTTAGCAGACACTCTTATCCAGAGCAACTTACAGTTAGTGAGTGCATACATTATATTTTTCATACTGGCCCCCCGTGGGAATCGAACCCACAACCCTGGCGTTGCAAACGCCATGCTCTACCAACTGAGCTACATCCCTGCCGGCCATTCCCTCCCCTACCCAGGACGAATTGTGCGCCGCCCCATGGGTCTCCCGGTCACGGCCGGCTACGACAGAGCCTGGATTCGAACCAGGATCTCTAGTGGCACAGCTAGCACTGCGATGCAGTGCCTTAGACCACTGCGCCACTCAGGAGACTACATGTTCTTTTTATATTTTTGTTCAGTGTAAAAACATGTTTCCCATGCCATAAAGCACATTTAAATGGAATAGAATTGAGAGAGAGAAAGAGAGAGAGAAAGAGAGAGAGAGAGAGAGCGAGAGAGTGAGAGAGAGCAAGAGAGATAGGGGAACCCTGGGCCATTGAAAACAACAACCCATACAAGGACCTGTACTCAGTAATTTAATTCACTATGGCACTATGTCACTGAAATACTTTATTTGCTCCTAAGAAATTCGGACCATAGAGACCCTTCTAGCACAGTCTCAGATATAGGCTATGTTAAAACTGTAATGTGAAAAGGAAATTGAGCCTGCAAGTTCAATATGGAGCCACTTCCAAAAGGGTTATCAGTTTCAAACATCGATACCTAATTTTGTGCCAACTGAATAGCTGCATCTATGTTAACTAAAATAAGCAAATAGATCTGATAGTGATATGCACCTGTGTAATGATCATGCTGTTTAATCAGCTTCTTGATATGCCACACCTGTCAGGTGGATGGATTATCTTGGCAAAGGAGAAATGCTCACTAACAGGGATGTAATTTGAGAGAAATACGCTTTTTGTGAGTATGAACAATTTCTACAATATTTTATTTCAGCTCATGAAACATGGGACCAACACTTTACATGTTGCGCTTATATTTTTGATCAGTGTAAATAAAATATATATAAATCATGGATTATGTTTTAAATCCTCATAAAAGTGTGGTAAGTGTGTACATTTTCATATTTCAAAAATGTATTGTTCAAAAGAAGCTGTTTACTTACTTACTACTCTGCCCCTCAGTAACTGCCAGCAGCGGCAGCTCCGCCTCCGTGTGTGCATAGGCCGTGTGAACATGGATTGTTTTGCCAGCTATTTGCTATGAGGGGGAACTGACACAATGAAATCGCAGGAGCATAAATAGCATAAATTATAACAGTACAAAGTAAATGGACTATCCTGGGCAGTGTTGCCAACTTAGCGACTTTGTCGCTATATTTAGCGAGTATTCAGATCCCTCTAGCGACACATTTTCAAAAAAGCGACTAGCGACAAATCTAGCAACTTTTTCTGGTGTTATTGGAGACTCTGACGTGAAAGCACGTATCGTTCTTACTCTTCTCAACGAGCAGCAGGTGCTGCCATGGGGGCCCCACCCCCGTCCAAAAGCACTCACAGGCGGCCCAGTCCTCGCGCAGCTTTTTACTCACTTTTTGTCTATCCCACGACGTTATTCCTCTCTCCTACAGTGTTCATCACATTACATGCAAATGGCCAATTATGCAAATTAGGTGATGATGTCATTTAGCGACTTCTAGCTACTTTTAGGACAGCCAATGGCTACTTTCCTTACTGAGGAGTTGGCAACACTGATCCTGGAGCGATCAAATGTGTGTCTGTTCAGTCAGAACTTCTGGGTCTGCTCTAGTCTCCCTAACAATGATTATCTCGCGTCAGACGGCTTACTTCCGCATGTGAGACTAGATCTGCTCTATCAGGTACAGATGGCACTAAAGCAAAAAGCTAATTGTAATTAACATGTCAATAAATAATCATAACAGTCATGGGAGCCTGGGACCTGATAAACCGGACAACTACATCCAACAATAGTCGAAGGACAGAGGGATACACTAGCTAGAACCTTCTCATAGCGGATCTAGTAACATAAAAAAGCATGGCCAATTTTATTGTTTTTCCACCATGTTGTTCATCAGGTTCTACTGTAAGTGACAGGGCAACATTTTGTGTGGACTAAAACAGCATAAAACTGTGTGTATCACAAAGCATGATCAAATGAATTAGCCAGCTACAGTAATTTTGAGATACATTGAGAAATAGTTTGGTAGATTCTTTGATAAAATTAACCAGTTATCTACCTTTGATAAGCAGCTAGCTAGCTATAGCTGCTAGTAGCTTGCTAGCTAGTTAGCTCCCATGCCAATTTCAAGGCTTTCTAAACTAATATCTGACTAACTTGGAAATATGAAGTTATTTCAGAATGAAAGTTAACTGGCTAGCGCATCATGCTTTGTGACATTATGTTAGCTAGATATCCCCAGTTAGATAATGTGTTGTCACTTATTGCATTTGTACGCTTGTTGTGTTCTCCCTGGTGCACTCGTTCGTTCGTAACGTGAGCTGGCTGCTCGTTCTAAATAGTATAATCTAATCTGTTCAAAACAGTGGCAGCATGTGCAGCAGCGGTCATTCGGTTGAAATAGGTGTATTTATGCTGTTGTTCAAATGCACAGATCACTTTATATATTCTCAAAAGAAACTACCGGTAGTTTGAAAACTTGGCATCATATTTCTGTCGTGCTGCCACTGGGGCTCAACCAGTGCCCGAGCACCTGCCCTTTTGCCCTCCTATGAAAGTGCCCTCGCAGCTCCATGGATTTTTTAAATGTTATTACTTACTTTTACATTTTATTTTGAGTCTCTTTTCACTTGTATTTTAAATGTAACGAATTGCACATCAAACTAGATACTTTCATAAGCTCTTGAATCTCAGAAAATCCCCCCTCCCCCGCCCCAAAAGCACACTCATTTGACTTGCATGCAGTGGCCACTGGCTGTGGGTGCCGGGCGGGGAAACATTTTGAGTTGGATCTGACATCTGTGTCCTTTGTTATTTTGAGCACTTGCCCCCCCCCCAAAAAAAAAGTTATGTGCACAGCCCTGGTCATGAGAAGCAGCAAATGCCCATGTCAAATACAATATGTCAATGAGGCCATTTAGACAAAGGGACCACACCATGTATCCATTATGGCCTCAGACCTGACCTTCATCTCACATGATCTAGACCCCTGTCTGTCTGACTGACCTACATCCTCTCCTGTGAAACACACTTAAAGAAAAAATTGATATAATGCATCCCAAATGGCACCCTATTCCCTATGTAGTGTACTAATAAGTAGTGCACTATATAGGGAAAAGGGTGCCACCTGTTGAATGTCAATGTTAAGTGGATGGCCGTATAAAACATATCTTCATGAGAGGGCCAGGAACAGTAGCTAGTAATGCCTTACACCATTAGAAAGCTCCGAATTTTAGCTATTTTTTGTATTTATTATTTATCTATGATTTGTATGCATTTTTTGAACTAATATGTATGAAAAATAGGACGTCATAGATTTCATTTTCAAATGTCATATGCTATGAACATTTACAATTGACATGCTATAAGATTTTAGCTAGTGGTCAGGGAAAATCAGACTCATTTCCTGGTGGACTGCTCTCATTCATTGTAGTCTCTCTCCCCCTGTGAACGTACCACAGAGTTGGCCAGCAACTCTACTGATTCATCACGATCTCAGCTTTCATCTATTATAAAGTTTGTCCTCCCTCTGTGATGAACAAAGTGGTTTTGTTTCACATCTTCAAACTGTTAAATTCTTTGTATTACATTCTATATAAATCGATGTGTGTTTGTCATAGAACGATGGAACTACTTCCTATCGCTGCAGTAGACTCTTAGTTTTGCAGCGATATGCAGCTTACAGTTGAAATCGGAAGTTTACATGCACTTAGGTTGGAGTCATTAAAACTCGTTTTTCAACCACTCCACACATTTCTTGTTAACAAACTATAGTTTTGGCAAGTCGGTTAGGACATCTACTTTGTGCATGACACAAGTAATTTTTCCAACAATTGTTTACAGACAGATTATTTCACTTATAATTCACTGTATCACAATTCCAGTGGGTCAGAAGTTTACATACACTAAGTTGACTGTGCCTTTAAACAGCTTGGAAAATTCCAGAAAATGATGTCATGGCTTTAGAAGCTTCTGATAGGCTAATTGACATCATTTGACTCAATTGGAGTTGTACCTGTGGATGTATTTCAAGGCCTACCTTCAAACCCAGTGTCTCTTTGCTTGACATCATTGGAAAATCAAAAGAAATCAGCCAAGACCTCATAAAAAAAATGGTAGACCTCCACAAGTCTGGTTCATCCTTAGGAGCAATTTCCAAATGCCTGAAGGTATCACGTTCATCTGTACAAACAATAGTACGCAAGTATAAACACCATGGGACCACGCAGCCGTCATACCGCTCAGGAAGGAGACGCGTTCTGTCTCCTAGAGATGAACGTACTTTGGTGCGAAAAGTGCAAATCAATCCCAGAACAACAGCAAAGGACCTTGTGAAGATGCTGGAGGAAACAGGTACAAAAGTATCTATATCCACAGTAAAACGAGTCCTATATCGACATAACCTGAAAGGCCGCTCAGCAAGGAAGAAGCCACTGCTCCAAAACCGCCATAAAAAAGCCAGACTACGGTTTGCAACTGCACATTGGGACAAAGATCGTACTTTTTGGAGAAATGTCCTCTGGTCTGATGAAACATCGTTATGTTTGGAGGAAAAAGGGGGCTGCTTGCAAGCCGAAGAACACCATCCCAACCGTGAAGCACGGGGGTGGCAGCATCATGCTGTGGGGGTGCTTTGCTGCAGGAGGGACTGGTGCACTTCACAAAATAGATGGCATCATGAGGAAGGGAAATTATGTGGATATATTGAAGAAACATCTCAAGACATCAGTCAGGAAGTTAAAGCTTGGTCGCAAATGGGTCTTCCAAATGGACAATGACCCCAAGCATACTTCCAAAGTTGTGGCAAAATGGCTTAAGGACAACAAAGTCAAGGTATTAGAGTGGCCATCACAAAGCCCTGACCTCAGTCCTATAGAAAATGTGTGGGCAGAACTGAAAAGGTGTGTGCGAGCAAGGAGGCCTACAAACCTGACTCAGTTACACCAGCTCTGTCAGGAGGAATGGGCTAAAATTCACCCAACTTATTGTGGGAATCTTGTGGAAGGCTACCCGAAACGTTTGACCCAAGTTAAACAATTTAAAGGCAATGCTACCCAATACTAATTGAGTGTATGTAAACTTCTGACCCACTAGGAATGTGATGAAAGAAATAAAAGCTGAAATAAATCATTCTCTCTACTATTATTCTGACATTTCACATTCTTAAAATAAAGTGGTGATCCTAACTGACCTAAAACAGGGAATTGTTACTGGGATTAAATGTCAGGAATTGTGAAAAACTGAGTTTAAATGTATTTGGCTAAGGTGTATGTAAACCTCCGACTTCAACTGTATGTGCCTGTGATGTACCGTTCCGTCCAATCAGCAAATTAGCGTTAAGGTGGGACTCCATATGTGACCCGAACCCCCAGAGTAATATGAGGCTAAATGAATTGAAGCGGTCAAATATGTTGTTGGTGAAATCCCACTGTAACAGAAGTTGATTTATAAGCCAATTACCTTGATATACCTTGATAAAACAATTACATTATAACGAAAGTACCCTAAATAGGGACAAAATGTTTAAGAGGTTTTAAGTGTGTTTCCTTGTTTTCAGTAGTAAAGAGTTTACGTAATCTCATCCTTATTTTCAGTAGTAAAGAGTTTATGTAATCTCACATAAAAAAGACAGTGTAGTAGTCAGTGAGATAGTGGGTCTCAATATTGTATTTTGTCAATTGTACTGTACACTAATTGTAAATATATACATATTATATCAAGCAATACTGAAAAAATAAGACATTGTAGCCACATTTTGATATTGCAAAAATCTGATCCCTAACCTGATGCTTACTGTGTTTATGTGTAGCGGTGCTGACACTGTACTTCATTAACTACCTGCATTGGGACCAGAACCTATCCACAGCAGTGTACCATGCCTTCTCCAGCCTCTGCTACTTCACCCCTGTGCTGGGGGCCCTCATCGCTGACTCCTGGCTGGGCAAGTTCAAGTGAGTTAGATGGAGAAGCCACTTTCATAACTTAAAGGGAAATACAGTGGGGGAAAAAAGTATTTAGTCAGCCACCAATTGTGCAAGTTCTCCCACTTAAAAAGATTAGAGAGGCCTGTAATTTCATCATAGGTACACGTCAACTATGATAGACAAATTGGAGAAAAAAAATCCAGAAAATCACATTGTAGGATTTTTAATGAATTTATTTGCAAATTATGGTGGAAAATAAGTATTTGGTCACCTACAAACAAGCAAGATTTCTGGCTCTCACAGACCTGTAACTTCTTCTTTAAGAGGCTCCTCTGTCCTCCACTCGTTACCTGTATTAATGGCACCTGTTTGAACTTGTTATCAGTATAAAAGACACCTGTCCACAACCTCAAACAGTCACACTCCAAACTCCACTATGGCCAAGACCAAAGAGCTGTCAAAGGACACCAGAAACAAAATTGTAGACCTGCACCAGGCTGGGAAGACTGAATCTGCAATAGGTAAGCAGCTTGGTTTGAAGAAATCAACTGTGGGAGCAATTATTAGGAAATGGAAGACATACAAGACCACTGATAATCTCCCTCGATCTGGGGCTCCACGCAAGATCTCACCCCGTGGGGTCAAAATGATCACAAGAACGGTGAGCAAAAATCCCAGAACCACACGGGGGGACCTAGTGAATGACCTGCAGAGAGCTGGGACCAAAGTAACAAAGCCTACCATCAGTAACACACTACGCCGCCAGGGACTCAAATCCTGCAGTGCAAGACGTGTCCCCCTGCTTAAGCCAGTACATGTCCAGGCCTGTCTGAAGTTTGCTAGAGTGCATTTGGATGATCCAGAAGAGGATTGGGAGAATGTCATAAGGTCAGATGAAACCAAAATATAACTTTTTGGTAAAAACTCAACTCGTCGTGTTTGGAGGACAAAGAATGTTGAGTTGCATCCAAAGAACACCATACCTACTGTGAAGCATGGGGGTGGAAACATCATGCTTTGGGGCTGTTTTTCTGCAAAGAGACCAGGACGACTGATCCGTGTAAAGGAAAGAATGAATGGGGCCATGTATCGTGAGATTTTGAGTGAAAACCTCCTTCCATCAGCAAGGGCATTGAAGATGAAATGGGGCGGCAGGTAGCTTAGTGGGTAAGAGCGTTGTGCCAGTAACCGAAAGGTCGCTGGTTCTAATCCCTGAGCCGACTAGGTGAAAAATCTGTCGATGTGTCCTTAAGCAAGGCACTTAACCCTAATTGCTCATGTAAGTCGCTCTGGATAAGAGCGTCTGCTAAATGACTTAAATGTAAAATGTAAATGTAATGAAACGTGGCTGGGTCTTTCAGCATGACAATGATCCCAAACACACCGCCCGGGCAACGAAGGAGTGGCTGCATCACAGTGCTAGCTGTGCCACTAGAGATCCTGGTTCGAATCCAGGCTCTGTTGTAGCCGGCCGCGACCGGGAGACCCATGGGGCGGCGCATAATTGGCCCTGCGTCGTCCAGGGTAGGGGAGGGAATGGCTGGCAGGGATGTAGCTCAGTTGGTAGGGCATGGCGTTTGCAACGCCAGGGTTGTGGGTTCAATTCCTAAGGGGAGCCAGTATCAAAAATAATGTATGCACTAACTGTAAGTCGCTCTGGATAAGAGCGTCTGCTAAAAATGTGTTCTTTGGATGCAACTCAGCATTCTTTGTCCTCCAAACACGACGAGTTGAGTTTTTACCAAAAAGTTATATTTTGGTTTCATCTGACCTTATGACATTCTCCCAATCCTCTTCTGGATCATCCAAATGCACTCTAGCAAACTTCAGACAGGCCTGGACATGTACTGGCTTAAGCAGGGGGACACGTCTGGCACTGCAGGATTTGAGTCCCTGGCGGCGTAGTGTGTTACTGATGGTAGGCTTTGTTACTTTGGTCCCAGCTCTCTGCAGGTCATTCACTAGGTCCCCCCGTGTGGTTCTGGGATTTTTGCTCACCGTTCTTGTGATCATTTTGACCCCACGGGGTGAGATCTTGCGTGGAGCCCCAGATCGAGGGAGATTATCAGTGGTCTTGTATGTCTTCCATTTCCTAATAATTGCTCCCACAGTTGATTTCTTCAAACCAAGCTGCTTACCTATTGCAGATTCAGTCTTCCCAGCCTGGTGCAGGTCTACAATTTTGTTTCTGGTGTCCTTTGACAGCTCTTTGGTCTTGGCCATAGTGGAGTTTAGAGTGTGACTGTTTGAGGTTGTGGACAGGTGTCTTTTATACTGATAACAAGTTCAAACAGGTGCCATTAATACAGGTAACGAGTGGAGGACAGAGGAGCCTCTTAAAGAAGAAGTTACAGGTCTGTGAGAGCCAGAAATCTTGCTTGTTTGTAGGTGACCAAATACTTATTTTCCACCATAATTTGCAAATAAATTCATTAAAAATCCTACAATGTGATTTTCTGGATTTTTTTTCCTCAATTTGCCTGTCATAGTTGACGTGTACCTATGATGAAAATTACAGGCCTCTCTCATCTTTTTAAGTGGGAGAACTTGCACAATTGGTGGCTGACTAAATACTTTTTTTCCCCACTGTGTACTCTGTTTGATCTATTGTGGTTCCAAGTATTCTATTCTATTCTAAGATAATTATGAAAGTAACGACTGTGTGTCATGTCATCCACAGGACCATTGTCTACCTCTCTGTTGTCTATGTACTCGGTCACGTCATCAAGTCTGTTGGGGCCATACCGAGTGTGGGGGACTCAACTATACACATGTGAGTAGTGGATCACTGATCGGTTAAGAGCTAGAAATGTTGCCCTGTAAATGTGTAGACCAATCTGACACCTAATGCTGTGCTCTGTATGTGTGCGTGTTCTAGAGTACTGTCTATGGTGGGTCTGATCCTCATAGCCTTTGGTACGGGAGGTATCAAACCCTGTGTATCAGCGTTCGGAGGTGACCAGTTTGATGAAGAGCATGTAAGAGACTATTATATACAACTTTTATTCAAGGGTTGGAACTTTTCAGGGAACAGAACCAAAAAACAGAAAATAACTAAATTATTTGAGGAACAGACCCCGACCGGAAACGAAAGTTACCTATACTGTTCCGGAACAGAAACATTATTTTAAAAGCATGGGAACCGGTTAATACATTTCTTTAATGTTCCGGGCATTTCTTTCCAGTCCCACCAAAATTGCAACAAAGCGCCTATGCATAGCCCTCACTCTGTCACTAAGAAACTTATTCCAGTGTCTTCCTGCCAGCTGGAAATCTTTGCCAGTGGGTTAGCGTTTATGTGTAGGCTGCCCCTCCCCTCTGAAGCAGGTTACTGTGTAGCTTACTGACAACATTACAAGCATGATTCAGAAATTAGGAAGAGATGTTTAAAATAATCAATTAGCTTTTTCAATGCTAGTTAAGGATACTATAGTTATCACGTTTCACACTGGATTTATTAACTACACAAAGGTAAGACGTGTTTTTAAATGTATTGCTGCTCTGCACACACAAGCTTGTTAGCTAGCTAGCTAGCTAGCTAGCTAATGTTTGCTCTGGTCCAATGTTAAACCAACTCTGAAGATCAAAGACATTCAAAGTTCCTCCATAGAAGCCTCTCACAAAATGTCAGTTGCATCTCGCGCCCTACACTGTGACTGGCAACACAGTGTGTGTTTTTCATTCATTATGATTAAACGATGCTGTTACGGCAAAATACAATTTGCTCTTAACGACTTTCCTATACAGATTGAATCGCTTACCCGCTCCATAGCAAGCTGCTCTATCCGCACTGATTGGTGAAGTCATTTAATGTCAAGCTAAATGTAAAAAAACATTTGATTGCAGAGGTTTAAAAAGGAACAGAAAGGAACAATATAAACAAGTACTTTTTTGGGGTTCGAACCAGTTCAGAACTTTATTTTGCTGGGCAGTGGAACGGAACGAAAAAAATAATGGTTCTGTTCAGAACAAACAATTGGAAAATATTTTTGGTTCCAACCCCTGCTTTTATATTGTTAATGCAATATGTGAGGGAAGGATCAATCTAACATCTGTGATTACTAAAATATGTTTTGTTGAAGGCCTATTGAAGTAGAAATATGATAGAAATTCAGCCATGAATGGAAGAAAACAACTTTACTGACCTGCAAAAGTACTCATCTAAATTGATTTTCTGATATTAAACAGTGTTCACCATCATTGGTTTTCTCCCTTCTCACCTCAGACAAATGAAAGGAGGAAATTCTTCTCAATTTTCTACATGTCCATCAATGCTGGGAGTGTCTTATCGACACTCATCACACCTGTATTGCGAGGTTCGTGTCAACATGAACCTTAATCCTAACCTTAATAGTGAGGGCTCAGACCTCTGAAATTGCTTATGTCTGCTGCATAGACAGTACAGCTTAACTGTACTGTATATGTGTTCTTGCACTTGCAGGAGATGTGCAGTGTTTTGGTGGTGACTGCTACGCTCTTGCCTTCGGAGTACCAGCGATTTTGATGGTCATTGCTCTAAGTGAGTGTCCTCTCTTCTTCACACCTCTTCTTATGAAGTCTGGATTTCTACTGCATACTTGGACTAGAATATACCCAGTGGGTAAACCTGGTAGAAACGATTTGATTACTTTACCAGATTACAACCTTGCCTGCTGGGTACAGTATGTATTGAATGCATTCAGCACAGACCTGGTTGTGCAGCAGACGTGTATACATGAGCTACTTTTCACATAGCCAAGCTACCATTATGGGTCACAGCGGGGGGCTGTGGCCCCCGAGTCGGAAAACAGGGTTTGTTTTGATAGCACATGCTTTAGCCAGGCAGAGGCAGTGAACCCTAAAGAGGAATGGGATTCTGAGGCAGTCAGCAGAAAGACCCTAATGGCAGGAACACCGATGTGTGTGTAGGGCCTGGTAAACATGGAGCCTCGCCAGTCAAAACAACACAGAACTGTGTTAGACACACACAAACACGCACGCACGCATGCACACAAACACGCACGCACGCATGCACACACACACACACACACACACACAGATGGCTGGTATTGGCTACTTGCTGGTCTTGTCCATAATAACATATGCTTGATTTAGCGGTAGGTGGGTTACAGTAACAATACAAACAGGACAGAAATGTTGCTGACATATGAAAATACAGTCTGTAGGTCTTTTGGCTCATTTGTTTTAGCTCCAGGGCTAAACAAATGTCACACACCCAGATAGCACACATCCTCAACACTCTTCAGTGTTTAGTCAAGAAGTTTACTATAACAGGGAGTAAGGGTCTTGTTTACCTCTAACCCTTCAGGGATGACCATGGGTGGAAAAAGCCACTCTAGGAACTCCTAGAATTCACATTTTTACATGTCAAAAGGACTTCACTTAGGGAACTCATTGGGAACTCCCACACATCCGTCTCCCCTCAGTTCCCCCTTGGTCTGACAGAAAGACAACAGTGATGATAATTTGTTTGCAGTTAGGGAGTGCTCTTGGGAGGAGACCAACACTCATAAAACTGTATTGCCATAGTACATTTACAATTCGTTTTTTAATAACCAATGTAAAATAGCACAACTTCTACTCAACTTCTACTCAAACTCCACTCTTTATATGTCTATGTCTTTGTAGTTGTGTTCATCTCTGGAAGTGGGATGTATAAGAAGAGTCCACCGGAAGGGAACGTCTTGCTGGATGTGTGTAAGTGCATGGGGGTAAGTCATCCATCTCTCACTCTCTCATCAGTCACGTACTTCCATAGAAAGATGTCTCTCGTGGCAGACCGTTAACATTGCTGGCAGCACACTCATGATTTGGTTCTGGGTTCTGAGATTACAGAAAGATAAACCACTGAGAAACTCTGTCCCTGGGCTTACTACTGTACCATGACTGCTCCTGTTCCCTCCATCCTACAGTTGGCCATCAAGAACCGCTGGAAGAGCTCTAAGTATGACCCTAAGAAGAAACACTGGCTGGACTGGGCAGAGGAGAAGTATCCGGTATGATTATCAAGAATGAAATAACTTTTGTGACGACTAGAATGACTTCATGGAGCTTTTAACTGCCCCAATTAACAATGTTTCAGATTAAGATACGATAAGATAATATAAAGATAAGAAAACGTTTTCATAAAATTGCATTTTGTCTTTGGTGATCTGGTTTATAGGTAAAAGTCTACAGGAAAAGGTATATGTGTATGTATGAAGAAGTCTCTCCTGATAGTGACCCATAATGTATGGTTTCCTATGTGTTTCTCTACAGAGACGTCTGATCCATGAAATTAAAATGGTCCTAAGGGTTCTGGTGCTCTACATCCCTCTGCCCATGTTCTGGGCTCTGTTTGACCAGCAGGTAAGGACCCAACGCTTACCCTTACCCTAACCATCCTCACGAGAACAGTAACCACCACCCTAGCTGTTAAAAAGCCCCGGCCTAAGCAATACCTTTCATGGTTCCGAAACCCTGGATACAGTCCAATACAGTGGATATGGACTGAGTAAAGACAAAACTGATTGAAATGACGTAATTTCAACCAGCTCTGCCCTCTGGGACCCCAAGTTCTGTTTGCCTCACTGCTTGATCTTAAGGCACTCTTCTGGCATCTGTGCTCTCCTCTCCTCTGGCCAACAATAAACAACGCCACACTACAATCTGATTAAGGAAAAATGCAAACCTGATTAGGGAAAAATGCAAACCCCAAACCCACATCTATCCAACATTCCCTAACCCAGACTTCCTGGGCACATTCCTCTTATAAAACACAGTGATTCAAACTAACAAGTAGAACCAAAACCTCCATCTTGGTTTTAAATGAAGGGAATTTATGTTGTTTATTGGCAAGAACATTTTGTTTGGCTTTCCATTAGGCATGTTAGAAGCCAAGGACATGTTGGATTAAAGAGGTCTGATTATGCCATTGAAGTGAATGGTGACGGCGAACCAGCTATCCAGTGCCACAGAATGCTATGAATGTGGCAGTGATAACATGATAACATTCAGCCATCTTTGTTTTGTGATGCTGTAGGGATCCCGCTGGACTCTCCAGGCCACCCGGATGAACATGGCCTTCGTAAGTTCCTTTTTCTTTCTTTCAATGTACAGTACATAACAACAGTGGTATGAGTATCGTAGTGAATGGCCTTCCTAAGTTTATTTCCTTGTGTAGCAATGTGCTTTACAACTGTGGTAAAAGCTGATTGTACAATATTTATGATTTCATAGTATTCTGAATTGTTTTATTATCGTTGACTGTAATCTGAAATTGAGATATTGTTGTAAAGTCTGTCTCCCTTTTACAGGGATCAACATTTGTCCTAAAGCCTGATCAAATGCAGGTACCTGCAGTTCCTTACTCTCTTCCCACTCTCTGCGGGGTCGACAGAAAGCGGATGATTCCAGTTTTCAGGGATACAGTATTTTCAAGCTAACTTCCGTTTCCCCTGATAAACGGATATGGGGACTCCGCTCAAGTGTCTTTTTACGCCTGCTACGTTATGTTGCTCACTTCGTAACAGTACATAATACATTACTAATGCTTATAATCTTTATACTAGAACTGTAACCATAGGTTATCTCTCTTATGGCCTTGACTAAGATCACACTTGTTCTCTCCTGAACCCAAACCCTTTTATAATGGACATTACCACCATAATGTATTTTATAAGTATGCTGCATCAACCTTTATGATTTTATGATATTTTGGGGGATTTTTTATTGTCATTTATAGGCATGTGCCATGTGTTTTGTTCTTTCTTGTTCTTTCAGATGTTAAACGCGCTGCTAATCCTTGTGTTTGTGCCTATCTTTGATGTGGTTGTGTACCCACTCATAGGCCTGTGCAAGATCAATCTCACGTGAGTGGACCTTGTGTATCTGAACACTAGCTGTGACATCCTTGCTTCCTCTGTCCTTGTTTCCTCAATTCCTTGCCTTTCCTATCAAAGCTCATTGGAGGAGGGACCTTGGATCCTCTTCTCCAATGCATTTCAAGGATAATTGGGGAAACAAGGATGGAGGAAGCAAGGCTACGTTTTCAGACACACCCCGTCTCTAAACGAGCAGGAGCTTTAGCTGACGGTGGACACTACAGTGTTCCACAGTCATCTTTTATGAGGAAACTAAGGGAGTAAGGAATGGTGCAAGAACAAGCATCATGTGGCTTACACAGCTACCTGTTGGTCATAAAGAAAACATTTGTAGCTGCTCTACCAAACCTAGTGATCTTATCATGTCATAGCCCCATATACAGTGGGGAGAACAAGTATTTGATACACTGCCGATTTTGCAGGTTGTCCTACATAAAAAGCATGTAGAGGTCTGTAATTTTTATCATAGGTACACTTCAACTGTGAGAGACGGAATCTAAAACAAAAATCCAGAAAATCACATTGTATGATTTTTAAGTAATTAATTTGCATTTTATTGCATGACATAAGTATTTGATCACCTACCAACCAGTAAGAATTCCAGCTCTCACAGACCTGTTAGTTTTTCTTTAAGAAGCCCTCCTGTTCTCCACTCATTACCTGTATTAACTGCACCTGTTTGAACTCGTTACCTGTATAAAAGACACCTGTCCACACACTCAATCAAACAGACTCCAACCTCTCCACAATGGCCAAGACCAGAGAGCTGTGTAAGGACATCAGGGATAAAATTGTAGACCTGCACAAGGCTGGGATGGGCTACAGGACAATAGGCAAGCAGCTTGGTGAGAAGGCAACAACTGTTGGCGCAATTATTAGAAAATTGAAGAAGTTCAAGATGACGGTCAATCACCCTCGGTCTGGGGCTCCATGCAAGATCTCACCTCGTGGGGCATCAATGATCATGAGGAAGGTGCGGGATCAGCCCAGAACTACACGGCAGGACCTGGTCAATGACCCGAAGAGAGCTGGGACCACAGTCTCAAAGAAAACCATTAGTAACACACTACGCCGTCATGGATTAAAATCCTGCAGCGCATGCAAGGTCCCCCTGCTCAAGCCAGCGCATGTCCAGGCCCGTCTGAAGTTTGCCAATGACCATCTGGATGATCCAGAGGAGGAATGGGAGAAGGTCATGTGGTCTGATGAGACAAAAATAGAGCTTTTTGGTCTAAACTCCACTCGCCTTGTTTGGAGGAAGAAGAAGGATGAGTACAACCCCAAGAACACCATCCCAACCGTGAAGCATGGAGGTGGAAACATCATTCTTTGGGGATGCTTTTCTGCAAAGGGGACAGGACGACTGCACCGTATTGAGGGGAGGATGGATGGGGCCATGTATCGCGAGATCTTGGCCAACAACCTCCTTCCCTCAGTAAGAGCATTGAAGATGGGTCGTGGCTGGGTCTTCCAGCATGACAACGACCCGAAACACACAGCCAGGGCAGTCCGTATTGCCCAGCGACAGCCCCGAAACCTGAAGGATCTGGAGAAGGTCTGTACGGAGGAGTGGGCCAAAATCCCTGCTGCAGTGTGTGCAAACCTGGTCAAGACCTACAGGAAATGTATAATCTCTGTAATTGCAAACAAAGGTTTCTGTACCAAATATTAAGTTCTGCTTTTCTGATGTATCAAATACTTATGTCATGCAATAAAATGCAAATTAATTACTTAAAAATCATACAATGTGATTTTCTGGATTTTTGTTTTAGATTCCGTCTCTCACAGTTGAAGTGTACATATGATAAAAATTACAGACCTCTACATGCTTTGTAAGTAGGAAAACCTGCAAAATCGGCAGTGTATCAAATACTTGTTCTCCCCACTGTACTACCCACCATTGTGACCTGTACGCTCTTGTTGGCTGTCCCTCACTACATATTCGTCGCCAAACCCACTGGCTCCAGGTAATCTATAAATCACTGCTAGGCAAATCCCCGCCTTATCTTAGCTCACTGGTCACCATAGCAACACCCACCCGTAGTCTGCGCTCCAGCAGGTATATCTCACTGGTCATCCCCAAAGCCAACACCTCCTTTGGCCGCCATTCCTTCCAGTTCTCTGCTGCCAATGACTGGAACGAACTGCAAACATCTCTGAAGCTGGAGACTCTTATCTCCCTCACTAACTTTAAGCATCAGTTGTCAGAGCAGCTTACCGATCACTTCACATGTACACAGCCATTCTGAAATTAGCCCACCCAACTACCTCATCCCCATATTGTTATTTATTTTGCTAATTTGCACCCCAGTATCTCTATTTGCACATCATCTTTTGCACTTCTATCATTCCAGTGTTAATACGAAATTGTAACTATTTTGCACTATGGCCTATTTATTGCCTTACCTCCATAATTTACTACATTTGCACACACTGTATATATATTTACTGTTGTATTTTTGACTTTATGTTTTGGTTACCCCATATGTAACTCTGTGTTGTTGTTTTAATCACACTGCTTTGCTTTATCTTGGCCAGGTCACAGTTGTAAATGAGAACTTGTTCTCAACTGGCTTACCTGGTTAAATAAAGGTTAAATAAAATAAATAAATAAAAATAGAGATGGGTGAAAGATACGTGGAAACAATGTGCAAACGTCTCCCCCTACAGAGCTATAAAACAACTGACCAAATGAATAATTTCTGAGAACAGAAATTGTTGTTACTGTGTAGTAGCAACTGTGTACTACTGGTTAGTACTGTGTAGTAGTGTGTAGTAACAACTGTGATAGGGACAATGTTGACCAATGTGGGTTGACCGTCAAGCAGTCTGTTAAAGATGCACTCTCAAACATTTGTATAAATTCAGCCAGTAGTTTTGAAAGTGGTGCTCACAAGCCAAAAGTGGTCCCCGTTTTTGTGTACTACATCATCAAATTGTATAATACGTCATCCATTTCGTATGATATGTTACATCATGCAAAAAAAATAAGACGATTTTTTTGTATTCCGTATGATATGTTACGAATCCAATTCGTACTATATGTTACGAATTTGTTGTTCTTAAGTTCCTGGAGTGCATCTTTAAGAGTCTATAAGAGTGTAATGTAAGGTATCTAAGGGTAGTGTGGGGTCATATTGTTTGATTGTCAGATTCTTCTATCTCTTCTCAGGCCGCTGAAGAAGATGGCCGTGGGTATGATCTTTGCAGCGCTGGCTTTCGGTTCTGCCACCTTGGTGGAGGTCAATGTCACGGTAAGACTAAGCATCTCTGGCTCAATTTCACTTCAGATTTTGTTTGTATAACTTGCCAAAGGCCAGAAATGTCAGAACAAGCACTAATCGTGTTTTTGTAAGATTATCATCATTCTTAATAACTTCTGGAACGACCGCTTTATAACCAAAGTGACAGACTCATGGCATTCTACCCTACCTATAGCAGCTGTAGCTGTGGGAAGAGACTACCTTGATTCTAATGACCCCTCTCTCTTCTCTTTGCCTCTGGTAGAAAACAGTGGTGGAGCCTGCGCCACAGGGACAATGTCTGCTACAGGTCTACAATCTGGCTGGCAGTGACATCAACCTGAACATCCCCGGGAGTAACCTCTTCTCACAACCCATCAAATCCTATGAGGTAAACCAGTTTGGCAGATTTGTAAAACAGTACAACAGTAAAGCACATTACAGGATAATACCAAACAGGCTGTTTTACTGTAACCTAACCATAGAATGAATGTACCCATGAGGATGCGGTCAAATTGCTCTGGTCTGAGTGGCTTTGTTCATTCCTGTAAGTCTATTTCAATTAACCTAACTTAAGTTGATAATGCTATGCTTATAACACATCATGTATTTATAAACTTTGACAGCAGCTCTTACAGAAAGCAGTCCTACCAGATAGGAGTGTGTTCTTCTGGGGTCAACGTGTACTTTGTTTTGGCTATATAGCTGAACATAAACCTTGTTAATAACCCTCCCGTTGTCCTAGGGTCAAAATGACCCGCCACTGTGTTGAACCAACTTTATTAAATTTTTATATTTTTGGGATCATTTGTGAGAAGGAGGCAGTGAGACTTTAAAGAAAGTATCACTGCCTCCTTCTCACAAATGATCCAAAAAATATAAAAATTAAATAAAGTTGGTTCAACACAGTGGCGGGTCATTTTGACCCTAGGACAACGGGAGGGTTAATTCACTCTGCCACTGTGTCTGTCCATTAGGATCCACCAGCATATCAGCATATTCAACTAGGGGGACACAACAAGACCATCAGTATGGGGGTCACCCAAAATGAAAACCCTTACCAGTGTGTCCAAACCTTCACAGAGCAGAAAGCCTACACTCTCGTCCTGCACAGCAATGGCTCTGGGATTGTGTGTCAATTAGTGAGTCTGAAGTCTGAACTGAAGCGCCATAATGATTACAACAGTTATTGAATGACCAGCAGCTCTTCTTAATAGCCTACTACAGAAATGATTTATGTATTTGCAATTTTCATGATCTTTTCTGTTTATTTCTTTTATTTTTTCACAATATAGGCGACAGACAACATACATAAAAGTGAAAAAATGGAAGCGAACCTGAGGTAAGGATGTTTTTATGTTTGAATTGAACTGGAGGAAAGAATAAGAGTCCATCGTCTTGTGAATCATCTTGTACAATGGACAAAGACATGTTCCTCATGACTCTCAGCTATAGATAAATGAATACACGTTATCCCATCTCTGCATACCTGCATTAGAAATGTATTGGAGCTGAAGCATTTAACATGTACACTGTCTCGAACAGATTCATCAACACATGGAGTGAGGCTGTGAACATAACAGTGGGTGGTGTGGACTTTTACGTACCTGCTGACTATGGCATATCTCCCCATAACAGTGTGGAAAGAAAAGTGTGAGTATGACTCGCATAACAAATGTTAAAGTATCTCATCCCAGTCCACTGACAGAATATCCTATAACTGATATTCCTAATTTTCTAACACTGAACATCTGACTGATATATTAACAAATCAGTAATAGATACAGTACTAGATCATATCTCAGTATCCACAGATCACTTTTACCTCTGCCTTCTCTAAATCCTTCACCTATCCCATCTCTCACAGGTACACAAATGATAAGTGTACATCAGGATCACAGAATTCCACCATCCACCTGGGCCTGCTTGACTTTGGAGCCTCGTACACTGTCATTCTCAAAGGGGTGAGTCAGGCCACTGGCTTTACCACAAAATACCATACTGTAGATACTATATGTGCTTCCTGCTACAGCCTGAAGCCAGTATAAGTATAAATACCTGGACTAGCACAGTACTAGCTACCTCCAGTACTAGCTACCTAGTAGTTTAACTTGAGTAAGTGTATGTGATCCCTGCGAGAATTGAACCCACAACCTTGGCATTGTGGTCCTCTGTAGCTCAATTGGTAGAGCATGGCGCTTGTAACGCCAGGGTAGTGGGTTCGATCCCCGGGACCACCTATACGTAAAAATGTATGCACACATGACTGTAAGTCGCTTTGGATAAAAGCGTCTGCTAAATGGCATATTATTATTATATTATTATTGTTAGCATTGTCAGTGCCTGCCCTGGCATACAGTACTAGCCTCTTTTACTTTTTTCCAGGGCCCTGGAGAGATCATTCTCCAGAAAATGGAGGATGTGAAGGCCAATGATGTCCACATAGCCTGGCAGATTCCCCAGTACGTCCTGATCACAGCAGGAGAAGTCATGTTCTCCATCACAGGCCTCGAGTTCTCCTACTCACAGGTTGGTAGTTGTCTTATTCACAGGTCAGCAGTGATTAGTAATTGATTATTGGTTGAGTATTGATAATAAACCTAAAATGCCTACATACTGAAGGTACCTCTGAATATCTGAAAGAATTGGTGTGTCCAATATGATGAAAATTCCACCTTTCAGAGGGCAAGATGGAGCTAAAATCATATTGCTTATACCAACCTGAACCCTTTCAGATCTACATGAAGTGCCTAGGGGGATTACAAGATTATGGGTTGATTATTTGGAATTCCGCCTCTACAGTCGTGAAAAGTTTTGAGAATGACACAAATATAAATGTTCACAAAGTCTGCTGCCTCAGTTTTTATGATGGCAATTTGCATATACTCCAGAATGTTATGAAGAGTGATCAGATGAATTGCAAAGTCCCTCTTTGCCATGAAAATGAACTTTTCCACTGCATTTCAGCCCTGCCACAAAAGGACCAGCTGACATCATGTCAGTGATTCTCTCGTTAGCACAGGTGAGAGTGTTGACAAGGACAAGGCTGGAGATCACTCTGTCATGCTGATTGAGTTAGAATAACAGACTGGAAGCTTTAAAAGGAAGGTGGTGCTTGAAATCATTGTTCTTCCTCTGTTAACCATGGTTACCTGCAAGGAAACACGTGCCGTCATCATTGCTTTGCACAAAAAGGGCTTCACAGGCAAGGATATTGCTGCTAGTAAGATTGCACCTAAATCAACCATTTATCGGATCATCAAGAACTTCAAGGAGAGAGGTTCAATTGTTGTGAAGAAGGCTTCAGGGCGCCCAGGAAACTCCCCAGAACTTAATCCCATTGAGAACTTGTGGTCAATCCTCAAGAGGCGGGTGGACAAACAAAAACCCACAAATTCTGACAAACTCCAAGCATTGATTATGCAAGAATGGGCTGCCATCAGTCAGGATGTGGCCCAGAAGTTAATTAACAGCATGCCAGGGCGGATTGCAGAGGTCTTGAAAAAGAAGGGTCAACACTGCAAATATTGACTCTTTGCATAAACTTAATGTAATTGTCAATAAAAGCCTTTGACACTTATGGAATGCTTGTAATTATACTTCAGTATACCATAGTAACATCTGACAAAAATATCTAAACACTGAAGCAGCAAACTTTGTGAAGACCAATACTTGTGTCATTCTCAAAACTTTTGACCACGACTGTACAAGGAGAGAATATAATGTTTGAGTAAAGAACGTGTGTATCATCATTATCATCCCCCAGAGCTGTGTGATCTGTCCCTGCTTTTCCCCACCAATGATAAACAATATATAGGTCTATGTTCAATACAGGCCCCAGCTAGCATGAAGTCAGTGCTGCAGGCTGGCTGGCTACTGACTGTAGCCTTTGGCAATGTCATTGTGCTGATCGTAGCAGAGGGGGCAGGTCTGGATCAGGTAAGTCCCAGTCCCAGTAGTAGAAGAGTGCTTTTGTTTTCAATGTGCCTTTTAGAAAACCTTGTCATTGCACCAGTAAACCCATAGACTGCATAAACCAGTTAAAAACAATAAAACAAAACCAAATGTCTGTGGGAGTCCACTAGAGGGCAACCAATCACAACAACATTACTGTCTTGGTCCCTTTCTCAATTAGAGTACACCTGGATAATAAATATGGCTTTCAAATAACGACATAGACCTGTGTTCAATGTGTTTAACGTTGAGTCGAACTTCTAATTCCCAGTGGATGGAGTTCCTGTTGTTCGCTGGCCTCCTGGTGGCAGTCTGCATCATCTTCTCCATCATGGCTTACTTCTACACCTACGTAGACCCTGACGAGCTAGACAAGCTGTTCCCAGACAAGACAGTCAATGACGACAATGAAGAAAACTTGAAAAAGAACCAGAAATACCAGACAGACGACAGTATGTACTTGAACCCAATAGAGAAGAGCACTAAGATGTAGCTTTGGTGACTGACGTACTGTGTTACTATTTGCCCCTCGATAGACTTGTAAGCCCCTATTGTGGAATGTTTTTATGCATTGGTAAATCGAAGCAAAGTATTAAGATTTGGTGAATAGTGATTGAGTGTATTTTCACTGAGCCTTACTGTATGTAATTTGTTGTTGTCACACCCTGTCTGTGTGATCTTATGTACTAACCAGAGTTAGCACTCCAACCCAGACATGTCTCAAAATCCACAGGTGAAATGAGGACCAGTAGGAACAAAACAACATGTTGACATACTTTATGGCAAAATATATTGCATTTTTGTGAATGTATAACATTTTACAGAATTTTGCAGTACTGTACATAATGAAATTAACTTTAGTTTCCTGTTCATAATGCTGTTCAAAGTAGACAAGGAACACAACTGTCTCTTATAGTTAATGATAAATGAAAGGGAACCTATCCAAAAACAACACAATAACAGAACATTGTAAAAATGGTCCCTCTTTACACTGGCTACTTGAGATAAAACTGGAGTAGACTGAAGTCCAGTAATACTTGACTAAACTAAAGTACAGATGACAAAGGCAACAGTAAACACGTAGTCCCCCACGAATGATGTAGTGCCCCCCTTGGGCTAATTGAGATATTGCGTGTGACTAACAATTTTCAGTTAATTACTATAGCTCCTCGCCTTGGTCAGTCAGTGTAATTGTGTAAATGCCGGATCTCTATGGCAAGACGCATCATTCACCCAAGTTTCATCAAAATCGTCCCAGTGCTGTCTGAGATATCGCGTGTGACTAACGTACGAACAAAAGGAAGGATGGAGACGAATCCATAGTCCCCTCCCCGATTTGATCATGGGGGACAACTATGGAGTCAGGGAAAAGTCTCAAGACACACTAGAGAAGAAATGCTGCTCCTAATCATCGGCATAACATTTTCTAATCCTGCGAACCATTTCACTGTAATTTTACTGTAAATTAAAAATTAAACTCTAAATAAAAAGTACATTTCTCTAGTTGAATATGATATATTTGTATTTCTAATGGTGTCACTAGAAAGCTTACTACTCTTATGGCTTTGCAGGACTAGCGCACTGTTAGTGGAATCGTTATGCACATTTATCATCTTTACTCATTCATGGCTTTGGCACTTGGGATTTCCTTCCCTTATCACAGATCCATGACTACCGACAGAGAGCAATCACACCACTTCCTAGTAACTGGGACATATTACATCCATCACTCCTTAGACAACCTTCATTAAATCCCTGTTACATAACAAGCTGCCATTCTACCATTCTCTCTGAGTCCCAAATGGCACCCTATAGCACCTATAGGACTCTGGTAAAAAGTAGTGCACTAAATAGAGAATAGGGTGCCATTTGGGATGCAAACAGCTGGGGAATGTAATGCAGAAAATGTAGCCGACGTCTGAGAGATGTCACTATTATTACAAAGATTAGGATCATACAAAGTAATTTTAAGTGCTATTTTGGAGCACTATTTGCCCAGCGTGTATAGAATTACATATCTAACTAATAGCACAAGACAACAAAACATGGTAAGAATGTAAGAAATAATATTGTCTTGGATTTGTCCTCATGGAACTGAGTCCCCAAGATTATATTAGTCTACAAATCAATATAACAGATTACAATAAACAATATCTATGGTGTAGAAACATATTTTTAAGCCCCATTCCTTCCCTTTTTCCTTCTCTGACACTGTGGAATAACTATCAGCCAGGCAGGATTTCCCATGTGGGCACTGCAGAGCACAGAAGTTCATTCCGTGGTTTCTAAATCTCTAAAACACTGCTTACTCCACAGAGAGAATCTCAGCCACAGTATTAAAGGACATAAGCGCCACTGTCAAAGGTATTACTACTATGATCTACCTTCACTACCTCAGGTACTCAAGTCAACTCAACTGTCTTACTGACCTCCTTTCCCCTTTTTAATCTCTTAAGGATCGGACCCTTTTTTTCAATTTTCGCCTAAAATGACATACCCAAATTGAACTGCCTGTAGCTCAGGACCTGAAGCAAGGATATGCATATTCTTGATACCATTTGAAAGGAAACACTTTGAAGTTTGTGGAAATGTTAAATTAATGTAGGAGAATATAACACATTATATCTGGTAAAAGATAATACAAACAAAAAAACATGCGTTTTCTATAAAAAAAATTGTTCCATCATCTTTGAAATGCAAGAGAAAGGTCACAATATAATATTGCAGTTTAGGCGCAATTTAGATTTGGGCCACTAGATGGCAGCAGTGTGTGTGCAAAGTTTCAGATTGATCCAGTGAAGCATTGCAATACTGGACTATTTTGTATCAAGTCTGCCCAAATGTGCTGAATTGGTCAATTGATACATTTTAAAGTACATAACTATAGAGAACATACAACAATGATATGGTAATACAAAATGTAAGTTTACACACTCCCAGGAATGTCATACATGATGGATCATTAGCTTATACACTAACTTTCACACATCTAGATGGCCGGTCGGGGTGGGTGTGGAGCCAGAGACAGCAGTGGTTCAAACTGTAGAACCCAGTTCCTACATTTGAATATAAAAATTGATTTTATCAAACAAAACTATGGTACATTTGATCTCTGGGACCATTAGGATGACAAATCAGAGCAAGATTACTGAATGTAAGTACATTATTTACCTTCAGAGGTGAATGTATCAAACCAGTTGCTGTGATACGTTTTTTGTTGTTGTGCACTCTCTTCAAACAATAGCATGTTATTTTTTTCACTGTAATAGCTACTGTAAATTGGACAGTGCAGTTAGATTAACAAAAATTTAAGCTTTCTGCCCATATAAGACATGTCTATGTCCTGGAAGGTTTGCTGTTACATACAACAGTCATGCTAATCACATTAGCGCAGGTTAACACTTAAGGGAACTTATTTACAATCTACTTCTTCGGTGAGTGTTGTGGTGCCTTTCAAGTGTTACTGCTCAACTGAGTCCAAAACGATATACTTACAGATTACTTACTGACCTATTTTCCCCCTTTTTTACAATTGAGGGAACTTAATTAAAGGAGTAGTTCACTATTTTACAACTTGATGTTAGATGGTTCCTCACCTTGAAAGTAGTCGATGGGCCAAGAGAAACTGTAATCCAGGGTTCAGTTTTCTCTAAACAGCCACTACAAACGCCAGCTAACCTTAGCCACCACAAGCTAACAATCAATGGAAGTGATGGGGGCATGTGAGCTTGTAAAAAGTTAAAATCACCTGAAATCAATTAAAATCAACTCCATATTTGGTTTTATGTTACTTAAAGATGATTCGGCCATTTAAAAAAAACATGCTCACATGCCCCCATCACTTCCATTGATTGTTAGCTTGTGGTGGCTAAAGTTAGCTGAAGTTTGTAGTGGATGTTTAAAGAGAACTGAACCATACTCCTATCAAGGGATCCTATCAAGGGAAAGAAGTCGCTGATAAAGACATTATGTGCAGCAGGTGTAATTGATTGTGTCTGTGACCTTGTCTCAGAGCCAGTTATCAGGAAGCATCAGAAGTGACACACTACCTGAATACACATTCCTCTCATCTAGATATATCAATGTGTTATGCAGCGCACCACTCCTTTACATACACACTCACAAATCATTATGACAGGGGTAGCTTTACTCTGTTCATTACTCAGAAACCCACAGCCATTATCAGGGATTCTCAACACCCGTCAAATCCATCCCTGAGGCTGCGTCCCAAACGACACGCTATTCCCTATATAGTGCATTACTTTTGACCAGGGCCCTATGGGTGGTAGTGGTAACTTTTGGTGGGAAAACTACATCAAGCTGTAAATATGGCCCTCCTCTCATACGTTTAATTTCCTCTGAAACATATGAGGTGACTTTACTGTACATACCAACTCAATCCAGGAGTTGACGGAATAGGAGGGCAACAGGGTCAGATGTCAGAAGAAACGCAATGTGATAGGTAGGAATATGGATAAGGAACATATTTCTTAATAGGAGCACTGAAGGAGCCAAAAACGTCTGGAATTGTCTGCTAGCAGCACAGATCACAGTCCAGGGGTCAGAGAGTAGAGCATAGCCAGTCAATAAGTAGTAGAGCTGAAGGATTCAAGGACTGGAAGGTTTAGAATGTTGAGTGCTCTGAAACAGAAATGTGACACTAGATGGGAGCTTGTGACCTCCCTCCCTCCCTCCCTCCCTCCCTCCAAGATGCCTCTGTCCAATTCATAACGTGGCTCTGATCTTTATTCAAGTGAACAGGCCATATTGATCCTCTGGTTTCACTGCAGTCTTAATTCATTCAGCCTAGAGAGCTCTGTCTCCTGCATGCATTGTTTGATTTGCGCAGACAGACTTATCACTATGTGATTTGGAAATCACTGTGTTCCATTGACAGGTGAAATATGTGTCTTTGTGATTCTAGGGAGTAACTGGGCTTAGTCTTGACACCAACAGGCGATAGGTCCCAGTTCAACACTACAGACATGAACCCGTGGAAAACAACTAAAACAAAAGTAGAAAAAAATCTGAAAGTTAATCACCTATGAGACAATAGTGCAGGATAACCTGTATGATAATGCTTGGTTTCCCATTCACAGCTTTGTACAACAGATGTCTGTTATATAACAGTATCACCTCTAAAGACCTAGGTGTCATGAACCTGCACAATAACCACAATAGGTTCTAGGTTGAGCTTATAAACCAATTGAACAGCCCACACTATGTTTGGTTTCTTAGTGGTAGCACTTGTAACTAACTTCATTAGTATTCTGCAGGAGCACTACGTACTCAGAGATAGTAAGTGGAACAGACGCTCATTTTTTTGCCACGGTCTTGACTCTGAAAGAGAAGAGAGAGCGTGTGGATGCGCCCGCTGATGCTGCTGGAATCTGAAGAAGGCTGAAAGAGTGATGGGTATCACAGAGACAAAAGACAACACAACAACCCCTCTCCTAATTAGCTTCCGGAGTCCCTATCAAGACAGGAAAAGGCCAGTGGTCACAAACCAAAGTATCAATTAATATTCCATTGACCAGGGCTGCTGCATCTGAAACGGTGAATCTAGTCAATATGGTGAATCTAGTCAATATGAGTGGATTACATAGGGAATAGGGTGCTATTTGGAACTCCTCCTAGAAGTCTGGGTGGCTGATGTCACAATCTTACTTTCATGCAGCATACCTGTCCTCCTCTTCATCCAGGCCTCCTGTACCTCAGTTGGTAGAGCATGGCGCTTGCAACGCCAGGGTTGTGGGTTCGATTTCCACGGGGGGCCAGTATGAAAAATGTATTCGCTCACTAACTGTAAGTCGCTCTGGATAAGAGCGTCTGCTAAATGACTAAAAATGTAAACGTAAAAATAATGAATCTCTGCTCTGTTCTGGCAGCACTATCCTCAGCAGCCAGTGTTATAGATTATTGCTAGGTCTTAATTGGACTGAACCAAAGTCCGTGTCACCAATCCTGAACCCTAACAGATGAGAGGCTACCATTGTCACGCCTACTCCCGCTCACCCGTTACGGAGTTCGATGTCGCCGGTCTACTAACCATCGGTCGTGGCAACCCACATTACGCACACCTGGCAAGGGGGCGGCAGGTAGCCTAGTGGGTAGGAGCGTTGGGCCAGTAACCGAAAGGTTGCTGGATCGAATCCCCGAGCTGAAAAGGTAAACATCTGTTGTTCTGCCCCTGAGCAAGTCAGTTAACCCACTGTTCGCCGCTGTCAATTAAGACAGCCCCCCCCGCACCTCTCTGATTCAGAGGGGTTGGGTTAACTGTGGAAGACACATTTCAGTTGAATGCATTCAGTTGTACAACTGACTAGGTACAGTGCCTTGCAAAAGTATTCATCCCCCTTGGCGTTTTTCCTATTTTGTTGCATTACAACCTGTAATTTAAATGGATTTTTATTTGGATTTCATGTAATGGACATACACAAAATAGTCCAAATTGGTGAAGTGTAATGAAAAAAATTACATGTTGAAAAAAATTCTAAAAAATA